TATCTATCTATCTATCTATCTATCTATCTGTCTGTCTGTCTGTCTGTCTGTCTATCTATCTAAATAAATAAACAAACATACTGTACATACATACATACATACATACATACATACATACATACATACATACATACATACATACATACATACAAATATTTATTTATTTCAGGTATATTTTAAAAACTTTGACTTAAGCAAGTACACATCAGACCAAGAGCAGAAGCCTCTAAAACAGATCATACATACATACATACATACATACATACATACATACATACATACATACATACATACATACATACATACAGTATTTGTTTATTTCAGGTATATTTTAAAAATGTTGACATCAGACCAAGAGCAGAAGCCTCTAAAACAGATATTGAGCTCACAACAAAACCTACAAAATATTCAAGGCCTGTACATTCATAGATTCATGAGTATATATGGAAAGGAGAAGGAAATCTTTATTCACCAAAATAGCCATCACAAGGATAACTTTACTGGCAGCTGTGTTTTCGGTAATTAAAAACATCCTCCCCCACTCTCGCACTCTGTGGCTCTATGGGTTTCCATTCCCAACACTGAAAGGGACCATATAAGAACCATGGGTGCCTTGAGAGAGAAGGAAATGTTTAATATGCAAAATATTGTTCCTTCTATGACATCATCAGGCTTGGGCAAAGGAATTTACACAAGCAGAATTTCCACCAATTTTTAAAAAAAGAAATTAAAATAAATACCCATACTTTTTTCTGTGCATTGTAACAGCAATAAATTATTTATTGGCAATCAGAGAATTGACTTACAACACAAAATTAAGATGCAGCATTTATCGTAACATAATAATTTCCTACCCCCCAAAAAAGTAAGATTAATTCTTGTGTTCCATTGACAAAGGCCACAGTTTTATTACAATTTCATTAATTCTGTTCCATTCCTCTTAGTCTTCCTGGCACCAGATGTTAATTCTTCTTGTTCTATTTAACTTGTCATAAGAGCTAGATGAGTTTTGTAATAGGCCAAACAATTACTTGGCATCAAAGCAAAGCTTTCTCAAATGTGACACATAACATAGTACATGCAACTAATTAGAGGGATTCTGCTTTCCTTTCAGTGCAGGCAAAATGTGATGTCAAAATAAGCCTACCTGTTTTTTGGAAAGCAAACAACAGAGACAATCCTTGCCCTACAAAGCCTGTGAGGATAAAAGGCTGTGGGCCATAGTAAAGCCATTCATATGAAAAGGGTATATACTCCATGGGACTCAACAAGGAAGAGAGTATTCTGAGTCAGTGACAGGCTGCACTGTGCCTTCTAGAAGTGCCCTTGGCAATTCTGCAGCTTGGTCAGTCATGGGGAGTTACGGGAATGGCAGTCATGTGCATTGGGACCTCATGACAAGTGTGACCCCAGAATACCTCATGAGAGGAACAGTGCTGCCTGCTCAAGAACAGCTTTTATCCAGGAATGCCCTACTACTTTTGATGGTCCAAGGTTGTTGTGGAGGGGCTGCAGTATTTCCACAGTTCATGCATTATCTGGCAGCATCTTCCTAGAAAAGCAATGGGCAGGCTATGGCCCTGGAGGTGCCATCATAGGCATCCTTCAGTCTCGAGAGAATATGGTAACGTGCTCTGTATGGAGGACTTGGAACAGCGTCTAGCGTTTTGACGCTGTACGTGAAGCTGGAGAGTCCTCTCCAGGGGGAGGTGCCATGGGACTCCAGTTTCCCTCAGGCCTCGCTAGCACAGACATCAGTGAGGGATGCTGGGCGCTGGAGCACAGAAACGATCGGAGAGGCCACAGGTTTCCTGCCCCTGTCCTAGCACATGCATCCTTGTGTCACGTTGGAAGAACAAAATGTTATAGAGGCCAGTGTTGAGATAATCCCTTGTGGCGAAACACAGTTACTTAAAATGCTTTTTAAAAAAAGCCTGGAGAGAAAAGGATCTCTCCTGATCATGTCAAGATATTTGCCAAAAGGCAATAACAGAGTTTTGCCACCAGGAATGCCTCTCATAATGTCTCTATGTCTCTTTAACACAAGTGCCTCTACAACATAACTTGTTAGTTATCTGTTTTGACAGCTTCAGGTTTGATGAGTGTATGCCAAACAGTGCAATGTGTGAATTGATCTTGAGAGTTACACAGAACAGAATAGGCTTCAGCTTCTTGTCACGCTACAGCCAGTTTTCCATCCTGCTTGTTCAAAGCAGCATGAAACTAACCAGTGGATTGGATTGAGCTTATATATATTCATAAAATGAATACCGTCATTCTGATCTTTCTATCCAGGTGTTATCATGAGACTGAACGTGTCTCTGTACCCCTTCTCCCCACCACCACCACAAAAATCCTTTGGGCAGGGTGCACCTGGACGTCCTGTTTCCTTCATTATTCTTGCCTGACAGGACAACAAAAAGCAGGTCTGCCGTTATTTATAGCTTCTTTGTCATCTCAGAGACACAGGAAAGGTTTGCAGGGACAGGAGGCTTTGTTTAATTTTAATTAACTCCACTTCTTTCAAATCTGAGTAAACCCCAGAGCCGCAGCAGCCGAGCTAATAATATTACAAAAGCTCTCTTTCCCCATATAAGGGAAATCACTGTTGGGCTACGGAGCAGCGGACACGTCACCATCCACATTTTGAGAGTGGTTTTGGGTAAGACCTTTATCACACCCTGATCCTGTCTGCCTTATTTCTTGAATTTTACAGGACCTTTCCATGACATCATTCTCTGGTCATAATCCTCCTTTGTTTTTCTATTCCATTTTTCCTCCCTTCCCACAGAAAATATTTTAGGGGAAAACCATGGAATAGCTGTGAAGAACTTTGATGGCATGAGGAGCCCTCTCTCTGGAAATACTTTGGGTCTAAGTAAATCTTTCCATGTCAAAGGTGGGAATGAATGTGGGGGGGGGGGGTCTTCAAAGCAAATAGTGTCCTTGAATGAGGTTTCTCATTGTTCCCATGAAAAGAGTGCACTGAGTTTGACATGGTATCTCCTCTCTCAGCCACCGTCATGGGCTTTCTGCGGCAGCACAGAGACCCCTGGATCCAACAACATGCTCTTTTGACACTACAGAAGCAGCTTCTCAAGACACATGCACAATGGCAGTACAGATTTATTCAGGCCAAGGCTGGGTCAATATGAAGGCTGGTGTTATGGGAGGGGAGCTTGAGTTCAATGGCACTTCTCTAGCAGTAATATTTTGCCACCTCATCAGATGCGGACGTGGCTGCCAAGGCTCACCACAATCCAACAAAACGGTAATCATGTGCAAGCCCATTGAAAACAACTGGCACCAGCATACAAAACCCTCTGTCCTTTTCTATCCAATGGGGGCAGTCTCTAAAAGTCTCCAGAGATGTAGCAACAGACACCAGTTTGATTAGTCAAGGGAGGATAACAACAATTCATGTAGAGGAAGGCTACCAATAGCTTCTAGTAATGGGACTGGGAGAATGGTGTCCCATTTATGTCTTACTTACAGGCATTTACTTGGGTCCTCTTGAAGAGAAAGGTGGGATATGTACATATGTCTGTATCTGTATTAATCTGCTTGAGGATCCCAGTTCTGGGAGTAAAGCAGGACAGAAATCAAATGGACGACTTAATGAATGGTGCCAGCCCAAAGAAACAGCACCCCTTCCATCAATCAACATACTTAAATTCTCTCTTAGAAATTGATAAATCTAAAACTCATTTCCTAGTGCCACCTTCCAGATCTGTGATTTCTCAGAAATCATCCATTCTTGCTGAAACATTCCATGGCGTTAAGTGAAATCCACTATGGAACGTTCCTAAAAATAAAATTAAAGAAGCTAAGGAGATGGCACCAATTTGACGTCACTGGCTATTGAAGATTTCATGCAAGGCTGCTCCTATGATGTAGAGCAGAATAGACTTCCTTGTACATTTCATTCCCATCCTATTGACAGTAGATAGGGAAACTGTGCAAGGACGGCAGAGCAGGAAATAGTTTTGTGAATTAATTAAAGTAATTGACAAAAACACTTCCTTTCTAAGGCAGGATAGCAGATGGCCCATTAAATGCTCTACTGCAACCTCTACACGTGGTGTTAAAGATACCTTGCATGGCAACAAAAATAATATTGATACAAGCTTAGTACGCAGCTATAGTGCTGACTGTATCATCATGGCAGGTCTGCAACAACAGCAACAATAAGGCTATGGAAGAAAGCAGGGGAGACCCTATGAAAAAATAAGATGTTCTGCTACCCTAACAAGGCTTACTTTCTTCACCTGTGGTGGAGATACACAGGGAGGGGAAGATCCACATTATCACTAACAAGGCTTACTTTCTTCACCTGTGGTAGAGAGGAGGGGAAGATCCACATTATCGACTGACCCTTCAACCATTCATTCCCTCTCAAGCTTACTTCTAGAAGCTGGATTGTTATGCATATTCCAAGCATTAACAATTGGATGGCTCAGTGGTTTAGATCTCTGCCTATGGAGCCAGAGGTTGGGAGTTCAATTCCCCACTGTGCCTCCTTGACAGGAGCTGGATTCAATTATCTATAGTGGCCCTTCCAACTCTGTTCTAAGAGTACTATTTGACTGATAATTAATAACAATTCATCAAGCCGATTCTGACTGATGGTATTCCTCCCAGGGTTCTAAATTCTTAATAGCAAGTTTATCAGTCCCTCTTTCTGGCTGTGCTCTGGGATCATGAGATTTGCTCAAGCTTACAGAGGTGGCAGGACATGTAACTGCATCAGTCACACATTCATGAGATGGTTCTGGTTGGCCCTTCTCCTGGGAGGCACAATAGGGATTGAAACTTTTGGCTTCTTCTCACTCACATACCATCTTTTTAGCCTTTTAGAGAATGTGTGATGTGCTGACTACCCAGGCTTGTTACCCATATGTTTAATGTGTATCCATGGCTGCTTACAGAACACCTTTTTAAAAATCCTGAGTATTTCAGAATCAGTTGTGAACACTTTAAAGTAATTCAAGCACATTGACAAATGTTGGAGAATGTATTTGTTTTACAATTATAACTCCATTTTCATTACATGTTATTTGAATTACCAGCTGTCATTTTTAAAGCAATAGACTTGAACATTTTAAAATTTGCTTTATGTTACACTATGAGTAATCTTCTTATGGCCATATTCAGAAAATGTTTAAACTGTTTATTAACTACTTGCCTCACAAGAATCATGCAAGGGAGATCCAAAATATTCCTATTACACAAACAGGCTATAAGATAGTGAAATGTCCCTGAGGCCATAATCATCATCATGTTAGAACTGCAGAGCTGGAAGGGACCCTGTGGATCATCAAGTCCAGCCCCTGTCAAGGAGGCACAAGTGGGGAATCGAACTAACAATGTCTGACTCTGCAGCCGGATAACTAAACCACTGAGCTATCTTAATGTATTCCAGCCCAAAATGAGACTCTTCAGATAACTTCTTGAAAATCTGGCTTCACCCACCTACCTACTGGCGCATGTTAGATTCATGAGGATTTGTGATCTACAAATATAAACCTTTTCAATCACAATCAGAAATCGGTTTGGATGATTTTTATGCAGACAAATGGTACTGCCCTCATATGAGCAATAGGGCTCGGTTTCCCTAAGGGGCCTCCACTTCTCAAAAAACCAGCATCATCGGGGAAAAAAATTATACCATGTCAGATTTATTTAGTCCATACCATGTCAGCTCAGAACCAGTGAAAATTCTATCTGACATGACCATTATGCAGAGTTGTAACCCATGATCCAAAGGTTTTCTTTTTCTCCTAATCTTCTTGCAGTTTCTGTGGTACATCAGAGTTATATGAGAAACTGCACTATGTCATGAGGAAGTGATTCTGACCTCAGGTAATGAAAGCAACCTTTTCTCCTAATTTTCATGTAGTCTCATTGTTTTTATGTCACTACAGACTGAAAATGTAGCATGAAATCCTCAAGAGCATCTCTAAGGTAAACAAACAAAGACATAATATTCAACACATACAAAGAAATGTGGTGCATTAAATGTGGTCCATTTGTATTCCCCAGATTGCGCACTTTATAAGTTACAAGTTTGAAGCGATGATGTTCTCACTAAATGCTGCAAGTTCATTTTTTTCCCAGTCAACTGCAACAAGCTGAACATGGAGGTGCATCATTATTTCAGGCTGCAATTTCATGGTAAGTATTCAAGCACCAGCAACGTATTACAGAATCCCAGAACTGTAGAATTAGAAAGGACCTAAGGGTCATGAAGTCCAACCTCCTGAAGAAGCAGGAGGCTGGCTGGCTGGTCATCTATTTTCCAATGAAGAAGAGCTTCTGCCTCCTTCAGATCCATTCTATTGTCCAACAGCTTTCAGCATCAGGAAATACGTGTTCAGATGAAATCTCCTTTCTTGTCATTTGAATCCACTAATGTAAAGCAATATTGTCCATTTAAAGCAATGTAGGAGACAAACAGCATCTGTACATGGATGGTCAGTTTTAGCAGTACGTGATCACCAGTCACTTGACCCAGTGATTGGTGGACCACATGTATGGAACATTTGTCCTTAGAATGGAGTGCCTGGTTTGCCATGTTCTGTCGGCCTTCAGAATCTACATAGCAGGCAGAGAGCATCATACTGTTTGCTTTGGCAATGGACTAAAATATGTTCTCTTCCCTCTTCCACTCAGTATAAGATCAATGAAATAAGTTCATTTGCCCATATCATTACTACATATTCATGTCTGATTGGATGTATGATACCAAGCTATCTTCATGCGATCCACATTAATTGGGTTAGGTACATGGAGTCACCAGAAGCCAAAACATTGGTGGGTTTACTTTTAAAAAAATGCAAGCGCACATGTCAGAGAAGAGAGTATGCTGTGGTGGCGGTGCATCTTCAGGCACCTGGAAAGTCTTTTCCTGTAGCAAAAGTTCAGAGCAGCTCTATCAAATACTCCAGTACCCATTTGCACATCTTCAAGCTACTGTCACATATCTGTAACTGATGAACAAGAGGCCATTCATTGTATAGACATACACTATAACACATGAGAGCACTATAATGAGTTTAATAAAAACTTTACTGAAAATATTTAGCTTCAATATATTTCTAAAATACATATAAAACCAGTGTTAGATATTAATACAAAAATACCCAAAACACAATGTTTCTACTCATGCTCAAGTGAGTGGCAAAAAGTCCATCTCACTGCTCACTCCTTTATTGTACATGCTACCTTCTAAAGGACCTGTACTCTTTGAAAGGAGTCAGAGGGAAGCAACAGGACGACTATAGCTGGCTTTTGGAGCACCTGCTTGTTTCTATCTGGATCCCAATCATAGTACTGTTCTTTGAGGCACATATAATGAACGTCTGTCCTGACTGAAATTCTACCACTGGTAAAAAGCACAAGCAGTGGTCATGCAACAAGCTACAAATCTACTCCTCCAAAAAAGTTGACATTGGGTTGCAGTTGTATGTAACGCCAAACATACATTTCAAATACATTATCTGAATGTTATACAGAGCACACAGAAAGTACCACAGTAACTTAACTGACTTTGAAAGATCTCAGTGTTCTGAAAAAGCTGGCATATTGACTGCAAACTAATTTGGTCCACTTTCTCCAGTGCCATTTTATACAGTCTGTACAAGGTGAACTGCATTTTATGTTACTTCTAATTTCTCAACCAGTAAAGTCAAGAAAACAGCACCACCTGATCAAGGTATCTTGGGCAAAAGCTGAACAGGAAGGGTAATACCCACTGTTTAATAATCATCTGTTGCTGTTATCCAGAAGTATTACTTAAAAGCCCATTTCTTTCCTAATGGCTGCTATGCAAGCAATTATTGGAAAACAGGAATATAAACTCAATTATTAGAGTATAATTGGGCTGCAGCATATGCATTCTAAACAATGTTCCAGCAGTCAAAATATCTTATTGTCATTTTTCAGGGTGACTTTTTTAAAGATACATTGCTTTAAAATATTCATGACATGGAATCTGAATATCTATAAATATTTCCTCTTGCTGTAGAAAAGGGGAGAAGTGTGTGAAAACCCAGTCACTCTTCTTTAAAGACCTTGTAACTATCATTATCAATAATACCCAACTTAACATACAAACTGTTCCAAAACAGATTGAGCTATTTTACTGTTTCATATGAGACTGAGACCTGTAACCTCAACAGCTACCAATATATAAAAATATGTTTCTGTTTCACTCTTCAGAAATGGAGCTGTAGATGAGTAACAGTTTGTTTTTCATACCATTCCCCATCACTGCCAACATCATTAACAGGCTCCTATGTCTGGACTTTCAAGCTTGGAAAGCGTCTCCTTAAGCTGTCAGCAAGGGCCTGATCAGCTTCACATAACACTTCAAAAAAATTCTGCACCTGGAAATAAAATATTAATGTCAGTGAACTGAATCAGGTAAGATACAGGATCAGACAATTTAGTCAAGCATCTGGAGAAAGTTAATAAGCAATCCACACTGATAAATGCTATAGCTTCCAAAATTTTAGCTGACTCTGCTCTAGTTAATGCTATTCACATTACAATTATTTTACTGCCTATTGCATTTTTATTGCCTATGAAGAATCTAATTATTTTCAAAATCCCCTATGCTTCCACCTTGCGCATTGAATGCAACTTCCCTGCATTGGCAATGAAAAAGAAATATGTGCTTTTTCAGAGATTCGCTGCTGCCTTGGAAATATAAATTGATGTTTAAAGTGTGAGATATGCATTGTAACAACATGAATAAATCCTGCCCTGGCTTACAAAATAAAAGATAAACAAAAGTAGGTATTTTGTTTAAAGATAAGGACATTTTTGACAACATTAACTCAGGCTGCGGCTATTATGGTCAAATACTGCAAGATTTGCTGCAGGTATAAAATGGATAATTCACATTTTGTTTAGCTGATTACATGATGCAAAGGCCTACAGTATTTGAATCAGTTTGGCCTTTTGCTCCCAACACAGAGGGTTTGTTTGTTTTTCCTGCTGCTGGAGACTTCTATTTTTTTCAAGCCATAATGATTCGAATGATGTGTGATTAGTTGTTTTGTTCTCCAAAAGGAAGTCGGGGGGGGGGGAACATGACTGAGTGGTATTCTGTTGACATACTAAGCCAGGCATGATGTTTTGGACAGTTTGAACCCATGATCTTTCTCCCTGGTTGCCCCAAAGTTTATTCTTTAAACAAACTACTGTGTTTGTTCATCTTATCATTACACAGATATCGTAGTTTAGCTCTAGATCACCTCTGGATGGAGAAACAAAAGATGTAAATTCATTCATTCATTCATTCATTCATTCATTCATTCATTCATTCATTCATTCATTCATTCATTCATTCTTTCATTCATTCATTCATTCATTCATTCTTTCTATCACAGTAATAGACAGTTTAAAAATAAAGATCTATGTGTAATAGTATCAATTCTGATAAAGCACAGCAAACTACTATATTTCCATGGTATGTGTGTATGTGTTCTTACATTATGGGGAAGTTTGGAAAACTGTCCCATTACCTAGCATTGTGCAACACTTTAAACAGCCTGCCAGCTTTACAGTGAATTGTAAAAGCAAAGCCAGGGATCAGCAGAGGGTGAGACACATGAGAGGAGGGCTGTGGTGCAGATCAAACCGCATCAAACTGAGAGGCCAGTATCAACACTGGCACCAAAACAATCTGCAGTCTCCAGGTGATCACCTGATCCAAACAGAAATATAAAACAGGCTGCAAATCAAATCACACAGTTTTGCTAGTGTAGTCATAGCCTCACCATGGTCACTGCAATTACAAGAAGAGATGGTGTGAAAAGGTTTTCCTCAGTGTGGAGACATCTGGGTAGCTGGCAAAAATTTGGCCAAAAATCCCAAAAAGTTATAGCATGCAACTTGACTGAGGAAGAGTGTGTTTCATATGCTGATGTCAGCCAACCAAAGCTTTGATAGCAGTATACTGTACATATACACTCTTCTCAACATATTATTATAATAACCAAGTCAAACAGGCTATTATTTGTTTTAGGAGTAATACATACCGAAGAGAAATACACAGGAAGGAGGTTTTGAACTGCACAGGAACATTTCTGTTCATTCAAATGACCTTGCTTGAGCCCCTCCAGTATGTTTTCCTGAAAACACCACCAAACCATTATTATACATTTCTGTAAATTGCTGAATGAAAGCATATGTATATTGATATTTAACTGAACCAAGCAATATGCATAGGCATTACTATGTGTCATATGGCTAATAAAATACTAACAATTTCAAATGCTGCTGGACAAATGTAAATCCATATGTTCCAGTGATAAACTCCTTGAGACTCCAAAGAACATCAGGTGGCCACATGATTATTTATTCATTCGTTTGTTTGTTTGTTTGTTTGTTTGTCAGATAGACAGACAGACAGACAGGGAGAGAGAGAGAGAGAGAGAGAGAGAGAGAGAGAGAGAGAGAGAGAGAGAGACCACCCATCTGGCAACCTGAATCATTCTGGGCAGTTTACATGGCATAATAAAATAGACAATACAATAACAAGAAACAGTATAAATTAATCAACACAAAATTAAACAAATAAAAATAATATTAGTGAACATTAACATAAAAAAGGAAAAGGAAAAAGATGGTGGAGTTGAACAATATGTTGAATCAAGATAGAGGAGAGTCAGGGAAGGCCTGTCTAAAAACAATGTTTTTAATAATTTCTTGAAAGTTCCCATTGAGTCCGCAAGGCAAATTTTGGATGGGAGAGCATTTCACAATTGCGGGGCTACCACTAAGAAGGCCCAGTTTCTAGTCACTGACTTCTGAGCCTCTCTTAGGGTCAGAACCCTCAACCGCCCAGCCTGGGAAGATCTTACTAAAGGGGCCGATCTAGTCGGAATGAAGCATTCTGTCAGATAATGAGGTCCCAAACTGTTTAGGGCTTTGTATGTTAACACCATTATCTTGAAGCGGCATAGAAATGAACAGGTAGCCAGTGCAGGGCAGCCAAGGTGAGGAAAATATGCTGGTGTTTCCTCAACCCACTTAGCAATCTGGCAGCCGAGTTTTGGACCTGCTGGATTTTCTGGGATTGCACCAAGGGCAGCCCCATGTAGAAAGCATTGCAGTAGCCTAATCTTGAGTCTACCAGTGCATGGATCAGCATGGTGAGCGACCCTGTGTCAAGGTAGGGATGCAACTAAGCAATTCATCTTAGATGAAAATAGGCGGTGCGGACCACAGACATTATATGGGATTCCACTGATAATGCTGGATCCAAAAATATGCCCAAACTGCACACCTCATCCTTCATGGTAAGAGAGACCCCACCAAAGGAAAGGGAGTCTCCCAAACCATAGACATTAGGGGCCCCCACCCACAGGATTTCCGTCTTGTCCTGGTTCAGCCTCAGTCTATTATCCTTCATCCACCCCAGTACAGCATCCAGGCAGGACGGGACAGCATCCACTGCAGAAGGGTGGAAAGAGAGATAGAGCTGAGTGTCATCTGCATATTGATGACACAAAACTCCAAAACTCCTGATTACCTCCCCCAGCAGCCTCATATAGATATTAAATAGCATTGGGGAGATGATCGAACCCTGAGGGACTCTGCATTTGAGAGTCCACAGAGTGGACAACATCTCCCCAAGCTGCATTCTCTGGGGATGGTCCTCCAGGAAGAACTAAAGCCAGGCCAAGGCCTGACCTCTGATCCCTATCCTGGAGAGCCTCTCCAGGTGGCTACCATGGTCAACAGTATTAAAGGCTGCTGACAGATTGAGGAGGACCAGCAAGGACATTTTGCCCCTGTTGGTCAAAATGCTTTGCTACTATCAACAGCTATGCACATGGAGATCAATGCCCAGTGTGCAATCAAATGGAGGTGGGCCCACTGCTGCCCAAGCACCATGCATGCCTCAATGCCTGCATGCACATGCTAGAAACTTTAGACAAAATGCCCCAAGCAAGATGTCAAAGGCAAGAATTGATATATCAGCATTTAAATCACCAAGATGGATGTATATCCCTTCTGGTTCAATAAGAAATGAGGGGAAGCTGACTGATGCTCGAGTGCCACAGGACAAATGCAAATCAAGAGGTTACAATGAAAAGATGTCTGGGGCTCTAAGGCCTCATGAGAAGAACTCATTCTAGAACAGAATTAATCAGTGCAAGGTACACTGTGGCAGCGAATACACATGTACAGTTTACACAAAGGAGTATTCCACATACGTTTTCATTGTGTGAGTAGCTTAACAAGCTAGACTGCATGTTTCCATTATCAGTCACAGCAGTCATGGCACTAGTGAGAAAGCAATGGATGAAATAAAAACTGTTCTGCACCCAAGCAGCTTATGTAAGTCTAACCTTTGACAACTCCTGGATCATATTGGAGAGCAGCTCACATGAGATGTCCTTCAAGATTTTTAAATGGAAATCTTCCTCGGCTATTTCCAACTTCTCATTCTCTTCCGACTTGGATGTACTGGAGCTGTCTTCAGATCTCCTTGCACATTCATCCATGTTTTGTAAGACTCTAATCAAGCTATCAAGCAGAGGCATATCTGACATATAAAGCAAGTTAAAAAAAAATTTAAATTTTATTTTAATTTATATCCCGCCCATTTAGACTGAAGTCTACTCTGGGTGGCTAACAACAATACATAAAAGTAACAGCAATTTAAAATAAAAACAACAATATTAATATAATTCAAGATGGCAAAGAATAGATTAGGTGATGACAGGAGGGAAGGCCTGCCTAAAGATCCAGGTCTTAAGTTTGCTCTTAAAAACATCCAGCAAGGGAGCCAGGCAGATTTCTGCAGGTAAACTGTTCTAGAGGTGAGGGGCCGCTGCTGAGAAGGACCGGTTTCTTGTTCTTTCTCTCCGGGCCTCCCTCAGCGTTAGGCCCCTCAACCACCCATCCTGGCCAGAACGTGATTCAGGTAGATCTAGGTGGGAGGAGGCATTCCACTAGATATCGAGGTCCTAAACCATTTAGGACTTTATATGTCATCATTAACACCTTGAAATCAGTGTGGGAATGAATGGGCAGCCAATGCAAGGCAGCCAGAGTGGGGGAAATATGCTGATATTTTCTCACCCCAGTGAGAAGTCTGGCTGCCGCATTCTGTACCATTTGAAACCATTTGGAAAAAAAATATGGATGAACAGCAAAGTTAAATATTCTGACCTGTGAACATCCCAGTGAGAAGTCTGGCCGCCGCATTCTGTATCATTTCAAGCCATTTGAACAAAACATTATGGATGAAGAGCAAAGTTAAATATTCTGACCTGTGAAAACTCTGATGGAAAATGTATCAACCAATCAAAAACTGTCAAAATCAAGCTGATGCCCAAGGATAGAAAGTTAAATACCCCATAAGGGAATGTAACCCACAAAAAGAACAGAGGATCTATTCCACTATGGCAAGGTTATAAAGACAGGGGGTTACAGTAACTCAGTTATAGCCAGATAAGCATCACCTGCACATTTTTCTCATTCACTACTATCACCATTACTTGTAGCTTCAAAAGCCATTCGGATTTTTAAACCCCTTAGATTACATTCCCTCACCTTTCACCTCTAATAATATGTATTTCTTCACTTACTTTTTTCTGTCTTGACAAATTCCTGTTCTGTCTGTGAAGTAAAGATAGCTGACAGGACGGACAAAACAGAAGCCAAAACAGTCTTCTGTTCTTGAACAATAATTGGCGGATCATCTGGCTGGCAGAGTTCATTACAAAAGAGGTTATACAGCAGACTCCACGTTTCTTTCCCATTTTCAGGAGACCGTACTTGAAAATGACAAGAGCAACCACAAAAGGTGAGACAGCTGATATGTGAAAAAGCCCTGGCCAAAATACTTTTTTAACAATGTAAGGCCAAGCCCTGTGTTGCCCTTACAGAGCATGAAAGTATTCTTCTCTTCTTCCCTATAGCTATTCCTGCTGCCTGAAAACCAGACTCAGAGAATTGTCCAACTCTCCAGAACTATGATTTAGGGGATGCAAGAGGTTGCAGCAGGAGATGGAAGGTCCACCTGTAGAAGTCCACCTGCTAAGTCCTCTCCATCCCTTCACAATGAACTGTAATTCAAAAATCTTACCAATTGTTTGAATGCCTTCGTCCACAGTGGTGAGAAGCTGCAAGATATGCATGTAAACGTCAAGCCCTTCGGAACTGTTATCTGAACTGCAATGAAGAATGGCAAAATTATGTTGAGAAATATTGTGAGCTTACTGAAGATATACTTACTAAAATATTTTTACCTCACTGCTCAATGAATAACTCCCAAAGAGGCTGAACACAAAATAGGTAGCAGAACATCCATCTCTAGGAATATATAAATTGTAGAAATGATTTCTGCTTGGGTATGCTTGCTGGTTTTCTCCTTACGTGAATGCCTTCATCTGCCACACTGAACTTAAGTTTATGGACAGAAGCATATCCCTGATTTAAATACAAATATGCTACATGATATTCCTAGTGCAGGGATGGAGGAAGAGCATGGACTTTTACAAGGCAATAACATTTGGCCCATATTGTGCTGTATTTCTTTTAAAGAGTTTCAAGCAGCCCGTATCACTGAGTAGTGAAGCACTGAGGCCTATGGAGACCTACGGTGCTCTCTATACTTCCTAAGGCATCAGCAAAATTGCTACAAACCCAAAAAGCATATAAACACACAAACACAGCATCAGTACACATTTATCTTCAAGTAGAAAGCTCAGCTGAGATTGGTACTTGTGTTTGGCAGGCAGAAGAATAAAAAATAAGATAATAAAAGGTCACAGCATGATGAGCTTCAATCTGTAACAACCGCCACTGTTCAGGCATTTTCAAAGACTGATTCTCCCATCAAAATACCCATAACATGTTAAAGGTATAATAAAAAAACCTTATATTAATAAAACATCTCCTTCATGCTTTAACTCCTCCCCCCCCCTTTTCTAGACTGTAAGGAGAATCAGCCACTGAAAAATACCTACTAAAAAAGCGAAATCCAACATGGCATGGGCAGTCAAAACCAGAATCAGGGAGTCACCTGTTCAAATACTGTGAAGCTCCTTTGCCAGCACTAAGTCAGCCACCTTAACACCCTCACAGATTTAATATCAAGATATAAAGGAAGGAGGGGGAATAATGTGTACTGATCTGAGCTTCTTGGTTGGGATAACATGCAATAAATAAGTGGCACAAAACAAGGAAATCAACAGATATAGTTTTTTAAAATTCGGTTTTGTATCCATGTTTGAAACAACTGCAGTGCCAAGGCACTGTATCAAATGCACATATACACACCAGACTTGTTTTGCAGCTTCAAGAAGACAAGGTACAATCTTAAAATCGGGAAGATTATCTGGAGAATCATCGGAAGGCTGTGGCACTGACCACTGAGAACCCTTTTTCATCCATTTTAGCATTAATTCTTCATCCAGGTCAAACAACTTATCAACCACCTCGCCCACTTTCACCAGCAACTCCACTGAAACAAAGATTAAACCCCATTTAAATACCAATGAATTAATTTCACCCAAAACTAATTTCTGCTCCCTGCTTAGAAACCAAACTAGAGAGGCCATTTTCAATATTGATTTTTAAAATATTTGAGAAAGTTACTATTTTGGTTTAAATTGGATGGGTGCCCTTGAGGAATTTTTTAGTATGATGATGGAATAGAAAGGATTTTTAAAGAAAAAAAATTCATTGCCTAGAATCCTACTGGACAGATCCACTACTATAAGTGAAATGGCATATATTGCCTCTAGTTAAAAAAAAAAACAGAGGACTGTGTGGCTTCACAACTGTCAAATCTTCAGGGACAGTATGTCTGCAGAAGGGAGAGGAACTGCCAGTTGATACCCTTGTTACCTCTATCTCATATGGAATCTAAAATCCACATTGCCTTGCTGGCAATCTGGTTCCATGAATCAAAGGTATCACATCTTGCCCAATTTTTGAACTAGTTGCCTTTACCCTAAGTTTTAGGGTTAAACCGCAGAATCCTCTGTGCTACAGGGTCAGAAGACCAGCAGTCGTAAGATCGAATCCACCCAAAGGAGTGAGCTCCTGTCACTTGTCCCAGCTCCTGCCAACCTAGCAGTTCAAAAGCATGTGAGTCGATAAATAGTTACCACCACAGTGGGAAGGTAACGGCGTTCAGTGTATAGTTGCGCTGGCCATGTGACCACGGAACCTGTCTTCGGACAAACGCTGGCTCTATGGCTTGGAAACGGGGATGAGCACCACCCCCTGGAGGTGAACACAACTAGACAAAAATTGTCAAGGGGAACCTTTACCTTTGCCTAGGTTTTATACTATCATTGCCTGACTAAGAATACTGGAAAAGTCAAAATCTTATCTCATGTGTAATATTTTTAGCGATTCAGTACAAGTATTATATAACTTTGGACTGTTACCAAAAATCATAGCAACTAGAGGATCACCATCACATTAATTTCCCACACAAGCAAAGTGATGCTTGAAGTTTCACAACAAAGACTTTTGCCATATATGGAACAAGGAATGTCAGATGTTCAAGCTGGATTTTGAAGAGGAAATGGTACTGAAGATAAGTGGAAACTCTAACAGAGGCCTGTCAATATCCCCACAATTAATGCACCAACAAGAGATACCATGTGGCACTGGGGAGGAAACAGAGCTGAACTGAAATTTAGCAAGATCCCTCCCCAACTGTAACTTCTATGCCTCTGTGGGGAATGATTGTACATACAAAAATATGCTCTATTACAACCATAAAAAAAGCACAAAAGATACAAAGACAGTTGTGATAACTGATATTATTCCAATGTGTTACAAAGCACTTGATTAAACGTTATCATCGGAAACATTTTTAGTGATCTACAAAGACATTTTGGAACAAATTTTTATTAGAAAATATTTTTCCACATTTGTTGATAGAGTTTTTTGAATACATTGACTATCACAGAAAGTTATGTTTGAAAAAGGATTCTACCCTTCTTTTTACAAATGATGGTTGTGATGGCTGGTTATATTCATATCTATTGTTTATATTCAGATGGTAAATGTATTCTCTGAAATTTTGTAAGTATGTGATGGGAGAGGGTGAGTGAGGAACATGGAACTCTGGTACGAATTATTTTGATTGGATGGAAAAGAAACTAAAAAGCAGAGTTTTGGTTATATACTGCTCCATAGCACTTAAAGCACTCTCTGGGTGATTTACAATTTAATTAAATATATTGTGCTCCAAGAAAGCTGTGTACTCAATTTACTGACCTCAAACAGATGGATGGCTGAGTCACCCTCAAGTTGGCTACCTGAGCCCAGGATATAACTCAGGTCATGAGCAGAATCTTTACTGCAGTACTGCAGTTCAACCACTATACCATGAAATTAGATAAGGAAGGAAAGGGTGTGTGGGAGACAGAAGGGTCTGGAGAACTATCAGTCTTGGATATGTATTAGAGCAGTCTGAGAGAGCTCTGAGTTTGAGACAATGAGAAGGAAAGAGAGAATGAAGAACTGTGCTGAATAAACTTAAAGCCTAGGGATAAACAACATTCTTTTAACACTGTTGTTTTAATAAAACCTAATTAGTTCTATTCAAGATGAGTGATGATTTGTTCAATATCTGGGTGCTGGCTTGGTGGAAGGCGTTATGGGGGTCCAAGTGAAGAAACCAGTACACATGCACAGGGGCAATTAAAGGCTGGTGGCAACAGACGAATAGAGGAAATAAGTGAAAAATATTAAAGAACACACATTTATTCCTGTGGTGATTTAAAGAGACTGTTACCTAAATAGGTAAATGACAAGGCAAATGGAGAAATGATATGACAGTAGTTGAAGAGATCTGTATTCAATAACAGCCTACCATTGGTTGAACTAGACATGATAAAACAGATGCAGTCGTACACTGATGGACTTCCTCTGATTCTCTCCAACCAAATATTGGCCACTTCAGGTTGACAGAGACAAGTCAGCAACAACCTCAGGAGAAAAAGAAAGTTAGTAAGTATAGAATATGAACAAAAACAAAATTATGGAAAGGATACAGACAAAGAAGCATTGAAAGCAAATCCTACCAAGTTCAATGCTGTTTACATACAGACAAATCTGTACTGGAACCTTACTTTTGTTTTTTATGCTGGAAAACTGAATACACAGCAGTATTTTATGTTCAGATATGTTAGTTACTAATAAACAGCTTACCTGCTTGTTTCAAGCAGTGTAGGGGAATCAGAATCACATAATCGTTGCAGCACCATCTGTCTGAAAAACAGTAATACCCTGTCAAAATCAGCTAAGCATATTATAAAAGAGGAGAGACCAAGAATTAATTCCTCATCCCTTTTTCTGAACCTCTGACTAATCGTCATCTCCTAAGCATATTTCTGTAAAATTTTATAGCTAGAAAGAAAAGGAAAGGAAAAGAAGAAAGAAAGAAAAAATCAGGTACTGTATAGTACTGAGGATTATTATAACTTTAAAGCAAATCTGATTCATTATAAGGGAAACCAGCCTCCAGTTCCTGGATCTGGATCACTGGTTGTTATACAGTCTGTCAAGGGCATGTAGTATAGAATCCACAAGCCACATAGGATGAATTTGTATGTGAATGTTGTTATACAGTCTGTCAAGGGCATGTAATACAGAATCCACAAGCCACATAGGATGAATTCATATGTGAATAATTAAGCCTATGACGGCTTTCGAACCGCTAGATTGGCAGGAGCTGGGACAAGCAACGGGCGCTCACTCCGTCGCGTGGATTCGATCTTACGACTGCTTGGTCTTCTGACCCTGCAGCACAGGCTTCTGCGGTTTAGCCCACAGCGCCACCACGTCCCACTGTGAATAATTAAGCCTATGACTATTTAACATTTCCAGACCACCACCCATGTGCTACTTCTAGAAGAGTTGTAAACAATTTGCTGTCATAGGTTTAGCCACTGCAATGGACAGATAAGGAAACTGGGTGTCCCGGGGCATATGTCTATCTGCCAGATCCAAAGTCTCCTCATTCCCTTGACAGCAACCCCAAGAGGTCCCCAAGCCTATGCAAATCTTGAACTGCTATAGATATATGCTCTCTTATTTCCTCCAGTAGAAGAGACAATTTTTAAAAAGGAGAAATACTTGGAAACAAGGGCAACAAAAGAGAGCCTGCACTTGTCATTTCCTGGCCTTTGTAAGCTCAAAGGGCTCTAACTGCCACTGTGACTCTGCAGTGGGTTTCCCCTTCTTCCCAAATATATAGGGCTGTAAAGTTTAGAGCCACAATATTACAGGTACCCACTCAAGTTGTGAATGAGAGAATCAAGTTTAGCTGCAAAAGAACCCAAACGAGAGATAACTGCACAGAAGTACAGTATACATGGGGTCACGAAGAGTTGGACATGACTTAATGACTAAAAAACAACAACAGTATATTCCCAATGCTTTTTACAAATCCAGGTTTATTGAAAGAATGTTTATACGCCTTAGGGAAAAGATATGGGGGGAAACAGATGACCTGTTGTTGCTGGAGAGGAGAGCAATGACTATTAGCACACTTTGCTAATAGTTCTCAGAGCAGGGAAGATAGAGAAAAGCTAGTTTGCCCCATCAGAGCCCATTAGAGCAGCCCCATCCAAGCAGCTGAAAGAACCTGGATTTGCCTCCAACAACCTAGTTTCTATTGTATGTCTTTTTAATTACTCTTGTACATTTCATTCTGATTTGGACCTCCAAGGGAACAGTTCTTTCTATGGCTCTTCTCTCACCACAGCCCTCCTATACCCACTTTCCTTACTATTGAGCCTCTTGCCAAACTTTATAAATTCTAACACCATGAATCTGCTTTCCTTTCATTCTGCACGGGCTCCATGTACATCTGCAGAACATCAGTGACAGTAAGGAGCTGAAATGTACCTAAAAAGTTATGGACTGTTTTTATTATTTCATAAAAATTAAGGACCCCAGATCAAAACAAGCCACTTACCCAAGTCTCTCATCTTTGCTAATGTCCATGCATATGTCTTGGCAACATGCCATATTACCCAGAATTCCAACACAAATTTCCTGAAATACCAAATATAGTCATGTTAGACACATAAACCCAAGAATGGCAAACATCAACAAAATGATAATAGCTCAGAGAGTAAGAGACAGCTACCCATTTCATTGCCTGGACACACCTCAGCTGATTTTCAACAGTCATATGGTACAAAAATAAGTAAACTTTTAACTCTCTTTTCTTCTCTGATGATTAGTAGATCTAAACGCTTCAAGAACTTTTACTAGCATGTTTATTAATTAAAATTTTGGACTGAAGTTTTTTACTGATATGTAGTCTAACTGAAGTGTCATACTATCAATCTATTCCTTTAAGACAGCATTCTCTATATCAGTGGTTTTTAATCTTGGGTCCCCATATCTTCTTGGATGACAGCTCCCAGAAATCCTGGTCAGCACAGCTAATGGTGAAGGCTTCTGGGAGTTTTAGTCCAAGAACATCTGGGGACCAAAGGTTGGGAACCACTGCTCAATGTCTTGCTGTACCAATTGTAAACATGGGGAGCTCCACATTTAATTATCTCACCGTTATAAAAAGTAAGTCTACTGTTACCTTGTAGAGTTTATAAATGGGTTTGTGGTGTTGCTGTTGTTTTTTGTTGCTACATCCAAATTGATCAGTGCCTTTACTGACTTAAGGGGCCTAGAATTTTGTTCTTTAACAATAATCAAAGAGATAAAGTGGTTAATTCAGAGGTATTGAACCTAGGATGGTTGTAGAGCACCTAAATCAGTAAAAAGTGGCATGGCTCACTTTGAAGAGTTAGCAACTATTTCAGTGGCCTGTTCTGACCTTACTCTCTATAGTGAGACTGCAGTCAAGAAATGCTAGAGATCCTGATTATTTACTATTGCTTTCTCATGGGAGAAGAACCCAGAAACAACAAAACCATCCTATCTTAGCCGCTCTGCCCTTTCACTTCCACATATCTACACAAAACATTTAGGAAAGATGAAAACATATATTTATTAATAAATAAACAGAACACAGAATTCATCACAGGACTTACAGTAAGTCGAGGACAATTAGACTTGGCAAATATACCCATAAATATACCCGGGGCATTGAACGCTTGTAGAAATAAAGCGATGTCCTAAAAACAATAAAGATTATGTGTTAACAGCATTTACATAAGAAACAGAAAATCAGTTTTGTAAACAGTCTGTCCCTGACTCAGAATCATCAACCACTATAAGAAGCTATTTTCTTTGCTCTTATTTAAGGAGTACAAGTGAAAACCTATCATTTAGGATTTGACAGCAGGCAACAAATTTATCTCTCAAGTGTAAAATTAGTGATGACTTAGCATACATCTCCAGGATACAAAACCATCTGATTCAATCTTCTAGTAAATTGTGAGGTATTACAACCCTATGACCAGGAACCTACTGCTTAAAAGGAGAGCAAAATTGCTATCACACAAATGTCTTGCCCCACTCCCTATGCTAGGACAGCTAGTGAACTTCTAAACTTCACTTGTTAGGAACTGAGCGACTGTCCCAATGATTCATAGGCAATCTGTGACAGGTGACATGTGTTTTAGACATGCACTCTCACAATATGCAGCATGCTACTTCTAAAGGATAACTGTTGTTGTTTCACTTTATATAGTGTTAAAGCACTCTCTGGGCAGTTTGCAACATATTTAAGCAAACAACTCTTTGCCCCTCTCCTCATAAGCTGGGTACTCATTTTACCAATCTCAGACGGACAGAAGGTGGTGTCAACCTTGAGCTGGCTACCTTAATCCACTAGGATCAAACTCAGGTCATGAGTAGAGGACTGACTGCAGAACTGCAGCTTAACCACTGTGCCAACAGGCTCATTCCTGTGTTGACTCATTTCATATATTAAATTATTATATGTCCAAGTATATTTTAGAGGGTACCCAATTCTTTATTTAAAAAACCAGGGTAGCAATACTATACAAAAATAGTACTGTGTCCTATACCTTATTCATCGACATGTCCCACACTTTGCAAATGTCATTCTCCATATCTTCGTCTAACTCTAACTCTTCTTCCACGTTGTTCAACTCAGAATCATCTTTCTTTGGGCTAACAAGCTTCCAAAAAGAATAAACAGGACACTTTAATAAAGAACCAAAATAGTACAATAAGTGTTTTGGAAAGGTGATATTAAGATTGCAGCCACAGTAGAAGTGTACTGGGATATAAGAATTATATCACTAGTACACTCAATGGCTAAAGTCCTCTTTAGATAGAAAGCCATGCAAGCATTCCTTCCCCAACCAGCAGCTTCTCCTTCACACAAACAGTTGTGTGTCAGTTGCGAAAAGAGCCATACAACCATTCACATACAGGACAGCCTATAAGAGAAGAAAAATCACTCTATGATGCTCTTGTGAACATGGTTATAGAGTTGTCCAGTAAGGCTTACTATCAAGTTAATAATGTAGATAAGCTTACAATGTTTCACTTCTGAATGGTATCGATTACACCCAGGCATAATTTTACATACAAGATTATGCTCCAGTAAATATTACACTCATTGTGTACCACTTTTCAGTGAGATTAACTTCCAAGTAAACTAACACAGGGCTGCAGTCTCAGAAGATACATTTCACAGCTACAAGGTCACAGCAAGAAATCAAAGAGGTACAGGGTCACACCACATGTTTGAAAACTATGCCTTCAGTACCATAATACAGTGGTGCCTTGCATAATAGGCGCCCCGTTTAACAACGAATCCACATAGCGACGATGTTTTTGCGATCGCTTTTGCGATCGCATAAAGATGTTTTCTATGGGGGGAAATCGCTTTGCGATGATCAGTAAGCTGTTTCGCTTACCGATTATCGCATAACGATGTTTTTCCCCAGCTGATTGGCGGTTCCAAAATGGCCGCTGGGTAAAACAGGGATGGATTCCTCGCTTACCAGGCACCCAAAATGGCTGCCGTATGGAGGATTTTTGCTGAAAAGGTAAGTTTTAAGCCCATAGGAACGCATTGAAGGGGTTTCAATGCATTCCTATAGGCTTTTTAAATCCACATAGCAACGAATCCATATAGCGACGATTTTTGCTGCATGGATTATCGTCGCTATGCGGGGCACCACTGTAAAGTAGATTCAACACCAGGAATATGTACAGGAAAATTATCTTTCTAGAGGCTATGAAGATTTCCACCTTTCTTTTTTAGTATATAAATTTTACACGTATAGACACAATTATTTTAAAAGTCCCTAAAACTGTCATCATGGGACAATGTCCAGCAATCTAAAAAATACATTGCTTTTCACCTTCATATCTACTTTGGCCCATTTTCATGTCACACAATTCTAAAATACTGCAACAGAGACAAATCACTAGTGCCTATAACATACTTCAATTAGTTTTTTAAGGACATTGAATAGCCAAAGCTTGCTATAGACTGTATTTCCAATAGAATCTCCAGCAGCCACTGCTTCCTCTTCCGAATCACTGGTAGGTGGTGATGGATTTCTATCCATATCTGAGTAAACCAATCCAGTTGCCAGACCATAGGATTCCTAAAAAGGAAAACAGCAAGAATTCAGAATACCAAACTCATTCTACCACTGCCTCCTCTCAAGGACAGCCCACAGATTTCAGATGACCTGCCAGCAGATGTGTGCGTTTGACTCCAAGATGTCAACTTCCTTCATCTGTACTTTAAAAGTTCTGAATGCACCAAGATGGGACACTTTAGTCCCCCAGAGTCATGTTTTGTAGCAGATGTAACTAGACTTGCAACACAGGCATTCCACAACATTGTAACCTTAAGATTTGAAAACCTGGAAACAATGTTGGCATATTTTGGCCACTTTCTATGTACTGTGTTTCCCTGAAAATAAGACAGGGCCTTATATTAATTTTTGCTCCAAAAAAAAGCAGTAGGGCTTATTTTCATGGGATGTTTTAATTTTTTCATGTACAACAATCTACATTTATTCAAATACAGTCATATCATCTTCTGGTTGCTGCACAATGGAGGAGGGCAGGGTTTCACTTAACTAGGAGTTTTTGGGGGGGTAAGGCTTTTATTATGAGCATCTTGAAAAATCATACTAGGGCTTATTTTCAGGTTAGGGCTTATTTTCAGGGAAACAGGGTAGTAGGTTTGTTGTCCGAGTAAAAAAATACAGCTAAGACAAAAACTGTCTCAACAAATATTTTTCCATTAGGGTACATATTTTGCCCTACCGTAGGGCTTATTTTCAGGGGATGTTTTAATTTTTTCATGTACAACAACCTACATTTAATCAAATAGTCATGTCATCTTCTGGTTGCTGCACAATGGTGGAGGGCAGGGTTTCACTTAACTAGGGTTTATTTTGGGGGTAGGGCTTATATTATGAGCATTTGAAAAATCATACTAGGGCTTATTTTCAGGTTAGGTCTTATTTTCGGGGAAACAGGGTAGTAGGTTTGTTGTCTGAGTCAAAAAAACAGCTGAGACAAAAACTGTCTCAACAAATATTTTGCCATTAGGCTACATATTTTGCCCTACCTATAGGGCTCTATAGGTAATGACCAGCACTTTGAATTGGGCCTGGAAACAGACTGGTAGCCAGTGCAGTTCTTGTAACAGGTGTGTTATATGCTCCCTGTAGCTGGCCCCAGTCAGTAGTCTGGCTGCAGAGTTTTGCACCACCTGAAGTTTCCAAAAAGCCTTCAAAGGCAGCCCCACATAGAGCATGTACAGTAATCCAAAGGAGATGTAACTAAGGCATGTGTCACTGTAGCCAAATCCGACATCTGAAGAAACAGGCGCAGCTGGCACATCAGCTTTAGTTATGCAAATACTCTCCTGGCCAAGACCTGGGCATCCAGGCTTAGGGATGAATTGAGGAGGACACCCAAGCTGCAGACCTGAGTTTTCAGGGCTTCAGAAGATTGCACAGGCATTACTATACATAAAACATAAAAAATAACATGAAAACCAAACGAACAGGTGTACCTAAACATGTGCTGTTTAGCTGATCTCCTTTGTCCAGAGTTTAAAGGGGACCTGGACTCAAGTGTTTTACTGCAAGATCATAACAGTCAGAGAGCAGCTTCTAGATTTGGTCAAGGAAGGCTTCAGAAATAATTACATCTCCAACATACTCCTAAACTCAAGAAATAGGAAGCACCACTAAGATCAGGGCAAAGAGGATTCTGCAAACAGGGGTGGGGGGCACCACAGCAAATGCCCTGCTCCAAACAGCTCTGGATGTCCAACTACAGACAGCCATAAATGAAGCAAGGGACACATAAAAAGGCTAATGAAAAGAGTCCTACAAATTAAAAGTAAGGGGGGGGCTCTTTAACCACAATCGTTGGCACAAATGCCGGACCTAGGGGTTCTCTCTAAAGGGAAGGGGAAATTCACTCTGCCCACAAGAGGGGAAAGGCCGTTTTAAACTGCTCCACGTCTTTCCCCGACAGACAGGGCACGGAGCGCCAGTGCTGATCACCTCCGTCTCCAATTAAAGCCCCGGGACGGTTCCTTATGATCTCCGCTACTCCATGGGCGGAGGCGGCGAGGGGGGTGTTGGTGGGAGTCCTTCCCTAGAAAAGCTGCTCCCGCAGGACCACCACCACCCCGTTTTCCGCAGCAAGATCTCGCCACCCACCGGCTTCTTCCTCCTCCCTCCGCCCCACTTCTCCCTGAAACCCGCCTACGTCGCGGTTCTTCCGGCCCTTCCGAGTCCCAGACCCCGGAGGGCTGCGTCTTCGCTCCCCAGCAAGCCGAGGGCCCGGCCCTCCCCATCCGTTCCCCGGCCAAAGAGCGGCCTTGGCAGCAGCGCCAGAGGCGGGAGAAAACGGCGTGCGAAGGGACGACGGACTCACCTTCTCCATCACCCGCTGGTGCCGAAGAAGCCTCGACGTAGCTCGTGAGGCGCCTGCTTAGGCCCTTCCCCCCCCTTTCCCTTCCTCGCAGGCCCAGAAGGGCAGCACCCCCAGGGACGGCCCCGCAGAGACCGCTCGACCGACCACACAGGGAGCCCTCGCCCGCTCGGGTGGCGTTCACTTACGTATTTTGAGATCTTAGGAGCGGAGGGACGCTCTCTCTTTCTCTTTCTCTCTTCTTCTGGACTCCAACTCCCAGAATCCCGCGCGCAGAAGAATCAAAAGGAAGGAAGGCGAAGATGGCGGAAGGAAGTAGGGGGTGCACCTTCTCCATCACCCGCTGGTGCCGAAGAAGCCTCGACGTAGCTCGTGAGGCGCCTGCTTAGGCCCTTCCCCCCCCTTTCCCTTCCCTCCTTCTCTATGGCCCAGAAGGGCAGCACCTCCAGGGACGGCCCCGCAGAGACCGCTCGACCGACCACACAGGGAGCCCTCGCCCGCTCGGGTGGCGTTCACTTACGTATTTTGAGATCTTAGGAGCGGAGGGACGCTCTCTCTTTCTCTTTCTCTCTTCTTCTGGACTCCAACTCCCAGAATCCCGCGCGCAGAAGAATCAAAAGGAAGGAAGGCGAAGATGGCGGAAGGAAGTAGGGGGTGGTTCGTCAATGTGAAATAAAAACGAAAGTGAAATGCTCGTTTGCTTAGGTGTCGTTTGTCTGTGTGTATACCAACTCGCACACGGCTCGTGAGTCGACTAGGCTAGCGCGCAATGGCTTCTCAAGGGGCCTCTGCCTTGATCTTGCACTCCTGTGGCTGGCTGGCTGGCTGTGAAGGGGACCTTGGTCAGGATGGGAGGCCCCCCTGCCAACCCTGCTAGGTCAGCATGCCTTGCAGAACGATGTTATGCCCTCATCCAGAAAGCAGGTCCAGGACGAGCCAAGCTGGACGCATCAAGTTCTAATAGTTCTGCCGGGGTGCGTTTGTGTTGGGAGCATCAGATTCAAAGCCAAAACAGGCTGCATGAGGTGGTTGCCTAAGGCAGGTGGTTTTGGAAGACTTGAAAGAGAAACTTAATCAATTATACTGTATTTTTATTACTCAGGGAAAGGTGTTTGTAGATTTTTTGTATCACATGCCAAAGTAACTTGGCATGTTTTAGTATTTATGTGATATAGTTAGTATTATATATGTGAGTGCAAGGGGACACTGTTGTCCCCGTCTTTATCCAGCTCTGTGGAGGAAGACTGGATCCCTTTCCATCTTCATGGCATCTGCAGTAGCCTTCCCCATTGGACCATATTCCCCACACACCCAGACTTAATCGGAGAAAGCACTTTTAGGATTTACTGTATGAGACTCAAAATGAGTCCAAGGATGAGCATCTGCTGAAAGCAGAGCTTTAAGTCACTGCAATGTTAACACCTGCTCACATGCACTACCACCTTTAGTGGAGGTTCCCACATGAGTTGGGACCCTGCAAGAACTGGCATCCCGCCTCATGGGGAGAGCCCCCCTCCCAACAGTTCTCCCACTTCAGACTTACTCCTCTCCATGTGTAGGAAAGCAATGAAACCAGAAATGGGGTGGGGGTGGGGGTTGAGCAGACAGAATTACAGCTTTCTCTACTCATGGTAAATACATGATGCTGAGAATGACTATGCTATGCAAAATGATATTTGGTTAAGTTATAGAGGAACAGAGGTAGTGTGTTGATTACATTTCTTCCATCAATACATAGCTTCCAACAACCTATTTTCTCTCTCCAAGTTCAGATACAGAAATGGGCACTGTCACATATGTTTTCCTCCTCATGTAAAATGAACTGAAGAGAGGTCATCACTGAAGCTGACTCCTCGGGTTTTCAGGATTCATTTGGAACGCTCAGTTTTATTCAGTCACTTACCTCCACGAACTCGTGTTTAGATATGAAAAATTGTCCAGGGAGCTAACCTTTTAAAATATGCACACCTACTGTATCTCTTTGAGGGATGCAAGGAACAAAGGCTCTGAATTTTGATGTATACAAACATTTTCTATTGGGGTGGGGGAGGAATAAATGAACAAACTTTTTTTTAAAAGTAGAAGGAATGACAGAATTCATATTATTTTAAGCAACCCTGGGATTTGTTCTCCAACCAAGCAAAGAAACTGGACTAAATTAAATTGTTAGTACTAACTAGAGTATGCCCACTAACTCAACAAGACTTAACACTGTGTGTTGTCCAAACAAGTGCAATTCATTCAACAGGTCTATTCTATTTGCAATTAATATCAGGCGTTAGCCCTATCATTTTTTCAAGCAATAGTGCAAACAATTGCATTGTTTGAAAAATGCCAGGCGTGTCTTTGCAGCAGGGCCTTCTGCAGTAAAACAGAGCAATGTAACAGTAAACATCTTTCTTCTTTTAGGAGGATTATGGCCTTAAAAACAGTGATTATAATTTCAAAAAGTTCAGTGTTTTCAAGGAAAACAAAGCATAGAGAAAGCTTACTACTGTACTTATCTGTTACATATTAACAAAAATGAAATATATTTGAACATAGTATTAATGGAAATTATCTTTCAAATGGGTTTCCTTTGCTCTAACCTTGTAAATGTAATATCTAATGGTCATTTTTTCTACTTTCAATACCATTAAGAAACACAAGCAAATTACAAGTACAGTATATTCACTTTATTAAAATCCAGGTTAGGTAAAACCTGACCTGTTTGCTTATACTCATATACAATTTTTTAAAACTTCAGTTAATACAAACATGTCTACAAAAGAATATTGTTTACCTAGAAATCAATGATTTACTCAAAAATGCAAGCAAATGAGATGCAGCAAAGTACAAATCTTTTGATCAGATTATACTTGTTCTACATATTAGCTCACTCTGCATTTGCACCAACCTGCAAACTGAAACAATGGCTGAAATCCAATAGCAGAACTTACACCATGTAAGGCTGACAATGTCATCAGCTCTTTTTTTGGGGGGGGGGGAATCTCACCAAGGTCCTAAAGCTCCCTTTTATCAAGGGGAAACCACCGGAGGCTGCAGGGACAGGAAGAGGGTTGATGTCTGAAAATTACCACTACCAGTAAAATCATCCCATTGGTGGTAATTTGTGGAAATCAAGCACTTTCCCGTATCTCTTGATCCCCAATGGCTCCCTATGATAAAAGGGAGCCTTGCAGCCCTCAAGTTCAGAAGAATTTTAATTTAGATAAAACTGCTGCAGCCAATGACATCAACCTTAAGTGACCTAAATTCCAGTACAGTATTAGATTCCAGCCAACTTTTCTCAGAACAAATGTGAGGTAGTAGACCTAGTTGTACAACCAAGCCTGGATTCAAAGAGCTGTATTGTAAGCTGTACATACAGCAAGATTTCTGAACTCTTCTCAGAAAAGGCTCCATAGTACCAGTGATGCCAGCCTCAAATCTCAAGGGAAACATTGAAGCATAGAGAGCTACTGCCCAGAAAAGAGAGGACAGTGCTATTAAGCCCTGGCATATGACTAACACAACTCTTTGGACTGTTGCATGGAAAAAATAAGGCCGCCATAGAAGGTGTTTACCTAAATCCCTGATGTGCAAAAGGCTAGAGAGAAAGAATCAGAATGATTAAATATACGCTCTTAAAAGTATGCGTAATAAACCTGAGGATGCAAGATAGTATAATTTGAAGAAAAAGATTCGGTTGGATAAAAAACTAATAATGTAACAGGATACAGTAAACTTATCTGGTCCCCAAATACTAGTAATATACAGAAACTGCATAACTGTAGATTATACATGCCACCTCTTTACCGAGTATCATTTACATTAACTAGGATCTATACGGAGTACTTAAGTGAAAATGTCTACTTATGATTGATAAGAAAGGACTACTGATTTCACCTCCAGCCACAGTTCTTTACATGTTTTGGAAAGACAACCTGAAAGGTCCAATCAGGCTTTTATTTAAGTGGCACTTTAAAATGAGTCATAGGAACCTAATGTCAGAGAAGAAAACAGAAAAGCCTATTTGCATGAAAATAAATAATCTTTAACTTTCTTGGTTCCCAGTTATAATTAAAATATAATGTCAGATATTAAATAGATACAAATAGAAAAACAAGTCAAAATTTGTTTTAAATCAAAGAGCCAGTTTTACCATTAGAAGAGTTATTAAAGTGGTCTCCAATAGGATTGTGACAAAACACAAATCTACAAATACCTTTATTAGGATCAAATATAATTAAACAAAATATGTAAGCTTTTGAGTTCTTTAGAACTCTTTGCAGGCTGTATGACAAAACTGTAGAGGGGAAGTTAAAAGGCATGGAAGTCCAAATATTTGGCTAAATGTTTCTAATCTAATACCAAATTGGAGAAAGGACATTTGTAATTGCTAAGAGAAACAATATAACCTAGAAAAAGAACTGTACACTAGTTGAAAAGGATGTTATTGTGGTTTGAGAAAACAGTTCTGTCCATACATCTGGGCATAATCCAAAACAATATGTAGATCTCATATATATACAACGGGGTGAAGTTAGAATGATTTGCTTCAATATACAGGAATTAGTTTTGAAATGCTGAAATGTTTATTGTTTCTAATGTTAAGACACTGCCTGTATCTGTTTTTAGTTCTATTTAGCTACCGACATATCTTGATTACCACTTTGAATTCTGATTAAAACTAATGGAATTTCACAGTCCTGCAAGTTTGAATTCTGACTTTTTTGAAAGGAAGACTTGCACTTCTAGGAGGTGCAATTCTCTAATACATAGTGTGGCCCTCCCTCCACACACCTTGTTTCAGAAGGTAAGGGAGTAAAATTCAAACCAGATATGTATTGTCCCCCTTGCCCAAACTAGAAGTGACACAGTTTCACTTGAAGGAGCAAGTATGGTTCCCAGAGAGTCTGGGGAACAAAAATTGAGCTCTGACTTTATCTACCCTGAATTGTGCAAATATGCCTGTGTAACCACTCCTTGGGCATCTCACATACCTTTAAAACCCTCCTACAGTTGCCATAAGTCTGAATGGACTTGATGGCACATAGTAACAAATGTGTATGATACATATTTAGAAGGTGAAATATTTCTTTGATTTAAGTGAGCAATCAATCAAACCAACAGCTATATTATAAATCTTCAATTTAATTCAAAAGATACACAGCCTCTTTTCAATTTCAAGTGTAAACTCTACGCTTTTACATAATTTTACATCCATTTATGTGCTCCATCCAAACCAACTCACAATTTGCTGGAAACTTAATAGAATCTGTTTGTGCTTTCAATAGTGTGAAAATTTAAAATTTACATTCTAAATATTAACAACCTCTATGTAAAAAAAAATCCATTTTCATGGAGGAACTTAACAGTGATCGTCTAAAGCTCTTGCTGTGTGCATCCTTGTTCAGTTAGCAACAATATTGTCCAACTTTTTTAATATACAAGAGATAATGATCAATATCCAATAGTGGTTTTCTGCAGGCCTCTTATGTTGCTTTATAAGACATCTACAGGACAGAGGTTGAGCACATAGAAGGACTAGAGGTAGAAGGGGAACTGCTTCAGGCAACTCCTTTCATCAGAAAGAGAGGTAGGAGTTGAGCCCATAAATATTCAATAATGGAAGCCCAGCAGAAAAATGATGTTTCATTCATTCATTTTTAAAACAAAGCGACAAAACACATTTCTTACTCAAGAAGACTTTTCTAGAAATTGTACAGCATAGGAAGAATGTTTCTTATTGTCATTTTATTCCAGAGCTGTCTACTACGCTTGTTGTGACCATAAAAATCGGTCACATCTTTCCAGCATGGATTGAATCAGGGCTCTGCAACAAAAGCGAAGGAACAAGGTGAAGAGACAGACGGAATATTTTAAAGAATTTGAACATTAACAATTTGTATTACCAAGCCAACTGACCCATAAATGTGGCCCAATTGTCTACACTGCAGGCTATGAAAGCCTAAATTTAGTGGCAGTTCATAATACTTATACTTGTCAGGTCCTTTAATGTTGCTCAATTAGAAGCAACACCTATCCATACATGACAAGTGTTAGCCCACACTGGTGAGGAGAAGCACTAATTTTCCTGTGCTTTCTTTCAGAGCTATGTATTTGATCCTGGTTTCAGCAGACTGTGACTTATGCAAATCACAATTTATCATATTAAAATACAATTGCAAATTAACTGCAAGCTTCCAGTCACAAGCATAGAGGAGTATGCAAGCCAGAGTCTTGTGTCCAATCATGACACACAAGCATAGGAGGTATGCAAATGAAACAGTCAATCAGTTGCTACAGAAAGCTTGTCAGCAAAACAAAAATTTAGCTGCACTGCGTCATCCATCGCGCACATATCAGCAACTGGTATCTAGAAATATTCTGTCTACAATACAGTACTGGAAATGATATATAGCCTATCTGAGTAGTAATTAATGACCCCACACTCCAAATATTTTTCTAACCTTTCAAAGCCATCCAAATTGGCAGCCATTGTTATATCCTAAGGAAGATTTAATGTTACTTGTTCCTGTTGGCTTAGTGTTATCACGCCAAGGAGAAGTCTTGGTGTGATAACACTAAGCCAACCTAGTGTTGAAGTTGACTTACCTTTGGTAACAAAGGTAACTCAGAAGACTTACCTTTGCCTTTTTCCAGCAACTCTTAGTATCTCACAGATTTTGGCAAATCTTTCAGATAATTCATCCATCAGGCCACATTCCTTCAGTAACTGCAAAGCACGATCTGGGCCAATTACTCTGGCTAATAGCAAAGCCATATTTTCAACAGTAATATGATTTGACCAATCTGGAGTACCATTACTAAAGGCACTGCCATTTTGCATAGCAAGATGAAGATCACTACTGTGGTGATTCTTCACAAGGCAAAGAAGGAACTTCCATTCTTCTATAGTCTCTGGAATTGCTCCTAAATGCAGCAATAAATATTGAAGAAACGGTTTAAATTTTTTTTTAAAAAATGGATTATGCAATATTCATATGATTTGATGTTATGCATATTAGACCAACTTGTTCACCATATTTATAGGTTCTGTTATAATTTTTCATGAAAATATTCTAGCTAACATTTCTCAGGTTTTGATGTCCTTAGCAATTAAAGAGATTCCAAGAAGTCCTATTAATTTTCATAGAAGCTGTATGTTTTTAAGGCAAGCTTGCAAAACTCCATCCTAAATATAATGCAGCAACCAAATATGGGGACCATTTATTTATTTAAATCCTGTCTTTCACCCAGAACTGGAACTCAAGTGGCTTAAAACAAAATAGGCAGATGAAAGTAAGTACAGACAAAAGCTTACCCAGGGATACCATGGTTAAAACAGTAATGAATTAAAAACAACTCAAAGCATCTATTGAAAATTAAGAAATAAACAGCACATATCTTCACAACGGAAGATTTGGAATGTCTGAAAGCCTGTCAAAACTCACATACACGATGTGTCTTGATTTGCTGGCTACAAGGGATTATAAAACAGGGAACTGACCATGGATCACGATGTGCAAACCTGGATTGGGATGTCAGAATGCTAATGAAATTTTACACATGGCTTTGAGATTATGTAGATTTTTAGGTACAGTCACCCACTTGCAGACAATTAGGGTTTCCACTGTCAGTTCCCTATTCTGTCAGTACACTGTACTGGGTGATGTCCCTATGCTATTTGAGGTACTGTACATTTCATAGTCCGGTAAGGCTGTCTACAACTCAAGGGGAATCCGACAATTAAGAATGTCATTTTACCTGAGTGAATGTCCCGCTGAACTCAATAGTGTTTACTTGTTTAATTGCAGTTCGTAATTAACAAAAATAATTAAGTACACACTACAGGAATTATCACATATAAGTGACCATCACCATTACCACAATAACTAACATACAAGAAATATTCACTGCATATATTCAAGACACTTGTATCTGTGCCAGTAGTGAGCCATTTTACCCTGTGTGTACTTGTTTTACTTCATATTGTGTTTGAGGAAGTGAAGTCTCAAAATGAACATATATTATTCTAACAGGAGAGTGGGTAGAGAAAATCAGAGATGGGGAAAAGTAAAACAAAACAAGCCGAAGTAGTATGAAAAGCAGAGACATATAGAAGGATGGAGAACAAAGCAGCAAAAATGGAGGAAAAGACAAGTATTTCCTTTGCCTATGAAGTGTCAGTTTCTCCAATGCCTCAAATTAGGGTTGTTGTGTTCTTATAATGAGCTAAAAAGCAGGAATATCATGTTTTCCAAATTCACAAATTACTTTCAGATGACAAAGCCCTAAGAGAAGTAAATTCTTCTGTGTGCAGTATTCATATTTTGTAGCACATTTAGATACTTAACATCTTATAAAAAGATGTTGAGTAAATAACATACTATGGTCAGAATCTTATAGCGAAAACATGCACATGTTAAGCATGGTCATACAGTTTTCACATTTTGCCACCTTCTCTTTACATGCCTGATCACTCAATCATGTCACAACAAAGTGCATCATGGACAAACAACAGGGCACACTTCTTCCATAACTCCCTGCTTATGGTATGCAAAGGCAACAGGAATGTGTGTGTTTTTGTTTGTTTGTTTGTACTTTCTTTTTAAAAATTGCTAGAAATCCATGCTAGGCAACAACTTCTACAGTACAAAAAAAGTGCTCTCTGCCTTAGATTGGTCCTCTCTATAGTTTCTTTGTTATGTTGAACCGCTTTATGCAGGAATCCACAAACATTAAAAACAGTCAGAGACAATACAACTCAAGAACCAAATTAAGTTATACTAACCATGTTCTCTATCCAACAAGTTCATATCATCCAAATAAATAATACTAGTAAATGTTTCAGCTCTTCTATTCAGTTCCAAACAGAGAGACAGATATCCAGGCCAGAAGCTACAAAAGTATTATAAAACAGTTCTGCCAATTAAAGTAAGCACTTTAACATACTATTAGTAAGTATAATCTAAAACACATCCATTTTTTATCACAAACTTCTGTGAGAAGAGGAAAAACTTTCTTTTGCCTTTCACATAGCTTTTTAATATGGGTCACAGAATGAGCCATAACATTTGTTACCAAATGTAGAAGACTAGCAGTACATTAAAGGTATAATTTTTTTAGTACCAAAACACCACACAGATGAACACTGAGGCATGTCAAGGATCACCATTCACTTTCCAATATTATGTTCTGGGCAAAAAAACTGAACTGGCAACTTCCCAACTCATAAACGTTAGAAGGCATAACAATAGATAATATCCCTCCTTTGAACCTGCATCTTAATAATGTGAGATAATGAAATCCAATAAAGAGGTCTTCTCATCTCATTTTTGTTGCCTTGTTTGTGTGTTGTACACTTTCATAAGTACATTCATTTGCTCTGTCTAATAAAATATTTCTTTTAAATAAGCACAATTTTTGCTGTAAAATTATTCATTAGTGCTGTTCAGTGCTGTAACAGACAAGAGATGCAGAAACTTCTACAGTACAAAGGCAGCATAGATATGTATATCATTGCATAGATATGCAATGAGGAAATCACCAACTTTTGAAATGCAAAGGGGAAAACACCATGGTTTGGCATGTGCATAATAAATATCCTGAATATCAGAATCTGAACTGTGTGAGCAGATTAGTCTATTATAAAATGGAACAAAATGTAAAATCTCTTATTACCCATAGCTTTTGCATATGTCACACATCTTCACTTTTGTTACAGTGTCAGCAGGAAGTTTAAGCAACAGCAAAATCAGCTGGTTATATCCCCATGTAAATAAATGTGAACGTGGCCTGAAAATGTTAACATAAAAAAATTAAGACCACTGTAATCCAAGTCAACACAGACAGCATTAAGGATATTCCATACAGCTAAAGTGTCATGAAGAAGACAGGAAGAACAAAAGCAATCTGGTTAAGAAGAGCAAGAAATAAAAATCTACTTGAAAGTTCAAAAAACAAAATCATTGAGAGTTTCATAAAAGAACAAACAAGAAATTACCTGTTCACCTGTCTACGCTTCACAGCAAAGCCATTTCAATCTGTCACATATCATGCCTTCTGGATCACTTCTACCATGGTTATATCCCAAAGCTGAACTATCTGAGGTCACCTCATAGCTGAATAGATACATTCAGAGAATAAGTCCATTTCACGTCATGAAAGCAAGAATGCTAGGAAGCTACAATTAGCCTTTGCTTCCTATTATGTCTAAACGTGTTGTAGAACTCTCTAGAACAGTGAGGATGGGTGGCACTAGGGCCTGCAGAGGGAGCAGTTCATTGGTGACAACACATACCACCCTTTACACCAGAGGAAGAGTTTTGGAAAAAAAAACATGGCTCCATGAATATCTTTTCTAGTAACAAGAAAGCATGATCTAGACCAAGGATTTCAATACAAGAGAGCCTTCACAAGCCAATTTTAAACTAGTTGTTAGCTACATGAGATCTATTAAATAACCTACTTTCTGATATGAGTCCCAATTGCCTTCAATGTTTGTTGAGGTGTTTACTGCAAATTTTACAGCACCTCAGACATCATCAAATTTTGCCCATTTTGTTGGCAGAATGGAACAAAAGTAGATTCCAAGTTATAAATATCTCAGAAGCAAAGGGATGACTGATGAGCATGGAAAGGAATCTATGACTGCATCAGGTTTAGAAATAAACATAATGGTCTTTCATGCCTTAGAGAAGCTCAGAAAAGCAGGAGTCATCAAGAATCAGACAAAAGCTTTTCTTGCTGTCCCAAAGAGGTCACTCTCAGCCCTCACCAAAATGAAGTCGTCCCAGCTGGTACAGATATTCTAGCCCAATGGTGCAACAAGCTTTTATCTGCCTACCAAAACTAGCATGAAAGCTCACAGATATGCTGGTTTCCCCCACACTGAATCACTGTCTAATTAAAGAGTCCTAGAATAATGCTCTTAAAAACAGGAATATTGTTAGGAACAAGGCTGCATAACTGCAACTCATACCGTGGGTTTCCTTGGGTATCCATTGTACTTGCTTTATGTGGGGCATCATGGGAAACTGCCAAACATAACCAATCTACTTGCATAGATTCTGGATGGAGAAGAGATCTAAGAAAAGACAACCTAAAAAGAGATTGGTTACTAACAAGTATTCTAGCCGTTATGTAAGTGAAATGTAAGTGTACTGGCAAAGAAGACAAATCTACTCCATTTGCTGGGATAAGTTTTAGTTTATATTTTAAAATAACATAACCAATCTAAACATAATTTTGGCATTGCTGCCTTTTAACATCAATGAAATCCAATAATTAATAGACAAATGAGTGAGCAAATGACTGATGCCTTTTTCTATACAAAATTCATTTTACTATGGAGTCAAAAAGCTAGGTCACAAGCCTGATGTATAAACTATTTCCCCTAAATATTACTATCCAATTCAAAGCTTCTTTTCTTTCATCTCCAGCAAGACAAATCTTATTAAGAAGGGGCAAATATTTTCATTACCTGTACTGTACCTCCCATTCTCCCCTTTTCTGCTGTAAGAACATACAAAACATACCGTTCATCTTCAGTCTTTGACTTGATTAGACTGTCTAAATAAGCCAGAAAGTGCTCAGGATTGTTTTTACAAATTTGCTTGACATCTGAAGGCAAAATAGAAGGGTAGAATTTGATCAAGGACCTGAGAGAGGTTTCTCCAAACTTTTCATAAAGCCTGCATAGAACACAGGAAATGACATGGAAGACACATTTAAAACATAGTTCTTCTCAAACCATTTACTTGCTGGCATACTTTCCATTCACCCCCCCCCCCCAATACAACTAATGCAAGATAATGCAGTAGTGCCTCATTTAATGGGCGCCCCGTTTAATGACGAAATCGCATAGCAATTAACTTTTTGCGATCGCTTTGCGATGTTCCCTATGGGGAAAAATTGCTTTGCGATGATCGGTATCCTGTTTCGCTTACCGATCATCGCAAAGCGATGATTTTTAATAGCTGATTGGCGGTTCCAAAATGGCCGCCAGGTTAAAAAAAATGGCCACCTGCTGTTTTCTGGGACAGATTCCTCGCTTACCGGGCAGCGAAAATGGCCACCGTATGGAGGATTTTCACTTAAAGGTGAGTCTGAAGCCCATAGGAACGCATTGAAGGGGTTTCAATGCATTCCTATGGGCTTTTTAATATCGCATAGCGACGAAATCGCTTTGCAGCGATTTTTGCTGCACCGATTATCGTCGCTATGCGAGGCATCACTGTATAACCAACCAGTTTCTCACAGCAATAGTAAAGTTTGTCTAAATCTATATCTAAAAATGAAAAAAGTTGTGGGAAACAGTCTGAACTCTACACAGAACAATGCATGTCACTGCCTCATATGATGCATACATAGCACAGGAAATACAATAGGGTCAGCTCGTACACAAAGCTATGCATGTGTAAGGTTATTACTGTGATAAACTCAACAGTCTAAAATTGAACTTGATGCATTTTACCTTTGGGCATGTGCTAGCAACATGGGAGCATCCCAAGGACCCAGATCAACCAGCAATTTCAGAGTTTTAAACATATCTCCATTTTCCAGTGCCATAGTAACTGGACTAGTCAAAGTCAGTTCTGAAATCAATAATTGCATGTTACAAACAACTGAATTTTAAAAAGCCTGCAATAATTTTCATAGCAACAAAAGTTAAAGTTCAAATACCCAAACTACATTAACTGAATAATAAATTCAGTGTGGTTCAGTAATTTTCTTTTCTTTTCTTGTTCTTTTTATATGGTTTTTAGATCTATGCCTGTGAATCACCGGATTGTTGAATGTATTATCGTGTAGGGTTTTAAGTTTTAATCTATAAACTGCTCAGAGTAGTGCTTGAATGAAAGTGACAGTATATAAATAAAATAAACAAATCCCAGCATTTTAATTATTGTAAGCCGCCCAGAGACCTCTGGGTAGAGTGGGCGGCATATAAATTAAATAAATAAATAAATTAATTAAATAAACAGCTGAAAGTTAGGTTGGCACATAAGTCCCACCAATTCAGTACGTCTGCTGTGATTAGGACTAGCAGCTAAATTTAGATCTAAAATATAAACAGACTTAACTTTATTTTTCAATTTATTTTTATGAGAATTACATCAAGTACTTTATTAGCTGTACGGAAGGATGGAAGGCTGAGTCAACCTTGAGCCGGCTACCTGGGATTTGAACCCCAGGTCATGAGCACAGTTTTAGCTGCAGTACAGCGTTTTAACCACTGCGCCACGATTAGCTGTACTAGTGTTACTATTAGGAATAGGAAGTTAATTTCAAATCTATACAGGTTAAATATCAACAAATTTACTCCAAGCTGCTATTTCTAACTACTGAAATAGTCTTTTTTTAAAAAAATGTGGAACCAGAAAATTATTTAAGCATTATCTGTTCTTTGGAAAGTATATAAACATGTCCAGAAATGTAACCAGCATCTAAGTTAATAAATAATGAAAATATTAGAGTTCTAAATAAAGAGACACATATTGTACAAATGCTTTCCTCAATTCAATATAATCTATATCTTCACTCCTTCTTCCTTTAAATGTACCGTACATCTTTGTTATTTTCACCTATCAATTATTCTGCTGCAATTGTGATGTAAATTTTATATTTCTGAAATATACAAGGGGCATTTCAAATCTTGTTACAAACCATTACATAGTTAAACTGACTTTAAATTATGGTCCTGCTAGATTATACTCAATTCAATATAATCTATATCTTCACTCCTTCTTCCTTTAAATGTACCGTACATCTTTGTTATTTTCACCTATCAATTATTCTGCTGCAATTGTGATGTAAATTTTATATTTCTGAAATATACAAGGGGCATTTCAAATCTTGTTACAAACCATTACATAGTTAAACTGACTTTAAATCATGGTCCTGCTAGGTTATATCAGGAGGGCCTGGCATGCTCTAGTCCATGGGGTCACGAAGAGTCCGACATGACTTAACGACTAAACAACAATGTTATAGCAATCTTACAGTACTTGTGCACTTATGGCTTTCCCCTCCCCACCAAAAATCCTGAAGGTTATAGTTTAATTAGGGACTGTGAGCTCTCTATAAGAGATTGTTAGCAGCAGCCCCAATTGCCAGGATTCTCAGATGTTAAAAACAAGTTAAATCTAGATATATGCAAGAATGTATGAATACCACAGGAAGTAAAGACCTGTTTGCACATTTATGTGTTCTTAATTTGTTTCTTAAAATGCCTCACATTTTAGGATGCTTAATAGGAAATACTCCCAAATGTTCTCAACAAATTCTTTTCTTGAGTAAACCCTTAACAATTCACTACATTTATGAACACAGGAGCTACTGAATAACTTGCCTTTCAACCCTTCCATGTAGGTTTCCCAAACTTCAGGATGACAGCTATGATAGTTTATAATATAGTTCTTCAGTCTTTCCAGATCCAGAAGAAAAAAATAGTCTTTTATGAATCTACAAGCCAAGACACAGGAAAATTGTGGCTTTTCATATTGCTCAACATTTATCTGTGACCACTCATATACATTTAATTCAAAACATAAAGTAGTAAGGTCTACCAGGTCCTTTTGAACACTTTGTGCAATGAAACATGGGGGATACATTTTAAAAGAATGGTTGAAAGTCATCTCTGATGTAGCAGCTTGTTTGCATGGCATTTTATCAACCTGACTGTTAGCAGCTGGCAAAGTATTTTCTCCACAAGTTTCCCCCTGTTGTTTAGTTACATCATTGCTTTCACACTTTGTGTCCAGTACTGTTCTCTGTTCCTTATCTACAGGTTCACAACATTGATTTGATCCCATATTTTCTTTGAAAACTTGCTGTTCTTCAGGTTGCAAAGACATTTCCGTGCCCATCTCAGATGAGCTATCATCTAGAATAACAGCTGGCTTCGATCCAAATGCTTCTTCTAGAAATGGAATCCAGTCCAGCAAAATGGCTCTCAAGCACTGTGGTTGTAACAAAACTAATGGATCCTGGAGTCTGGTCCTGTTTTTAAAAAAAGGAGAGAAAAGGTTTCAAGCTCTACACTGACAAATATCAAAACTATTGGGTTAAGTATAACATTGAACTAACCACAGTACTGCACAATGTAACTGAAGGCTTGTCTACACAGGCTCATTAGAGCTGGATCAAGTTAAATAAGGGTCAATAGAGGTCAGGTATGCCATTGAGATGATCCTCACATCCAAACGGTATATACCAACTCAAGCAACCCTATTTGGTATGGCTCCTTCCACTGCCAATTTCCCATATTGTGAAATGGTTTAAGTAGATGGGCACTTCAGAATATTGGCAAATGAAAGACTTTACTCTGCGGGAAGGCACAGGAAGGTTGTGTGTGGGGGGTTTAGACTCTATTAGAAATATTGGCAAATGAAAGACTTTACTCTGCAGGAAGGCACAGGAAGGCAGCACAGATGGTGGACTTGGCTGCGAGCAGGTTCTTGACCTGACCTTTAAGATAAGTCATGAAAAGAAAAGAAATTCCACTTGTTGCCCCATTCTTTTTCTTCCCACTTCCAGGAAGATGTTTTCAATTTTAAAAAATTAAAAAATATGCAGTGCATCTACACTGTCCTAATATAGCCTAAAAAAATTAACTTCCTCTGTCCTTCCACAAAGCAGATCAATGTGGCAATATCCTAAATTGGCAGGAATGCTTTGGAGACAAGCAAAGCAAAAGCAATGTGTGCTACTTATTTACCGCCACCCCCAATAGCACTAGAAGCACTCTCTGGGTGGTTTAGAAGTTAATTATGTAGGCTACACATTGCCCCCCCCCCAAGTTGAGAACTCATCATACCAACTTTGGAAAAAGGCCGAGTCAACCTTGAGCCGGCTACCTGGGATTGAACCCTGGGTCATGAGCACAGCGTTGGCTGCAGTACAGCAGTTTAACCACTGCGCCACCAGGACAAGCTGGTTTTCTGGAAAAAGAAGTCAACCAGTCTGTTCCCTCAGTGACCCAAACAGCAGGTTAAATGCCTGCCTGATTGCACCCTGGCAGAGCTGCCATTTAGGTTCACTACATTTTTCTTCTTCTGCATATTCTGGATATTCTGGATATTCATGTAATTCCATGTAATTTAAAAGCTAATATATTCTTCTTACATATGGTTTTAGGATATCAGTCCATGGCTGCTGCTATCAATATTTGGAACATAACTTGATCTACTATTTGAACATGGAGGATTCCCACAGACTTTGTATCTGCATGAAACCAAATTACTAATTTCTTATTATTCATGACCACAAATAATAGTTCGCAACTATGGCTTGTACTTACAATGTTAACTATAACCTCAGGATGAATTATTAATGAGAATGCTATTTCCTCCAGTTACACTATATGCATGCAGAAATATTTGTATAGCATTACCTAATACAAAAATGATAAACTGGACATTTTTCACCCATATTTGCTGGATTGCAGCCAAACACAACAAGAAAACTCATCATTTAACACTTGTGCTAGAGATAACAGAGACACTTTCCCCCCAGAGGCTTCATGTATTGGGGGTAAAAAATCAGCTATTGAAAGACCGGGGATGTCTTTGGGATAGTGTGGGAGATTGCTCTTGTGGAAGTGACTCAAGAAATCTATCTGGGCATGCACACACATACACTCAAGCCTTCACTGGAGTAGAGTTGCTTCCGTAAATGAGAGGGGGCCTATGGTTGTTGAAAAGTTATCTTTGTGCATATAATCTTGCCCTTCCTCAAAAGGAGCTCCTCAAAAGGAGCCACATAGTTTCCCCCTCCCTGCACTCATTTTATCCCCAGAACATTTATAATTATGAAACAGTAGAGGTGGGATGGATCCCAAGAGTAATCTAATCCAAACTCCTGACGAGGCAGCTGTTTTACTTACATAGTCTCTGCAGTTGCTGCCTTGAGGTCTTTAAGGCTGTCCTCTTCAAGCACTTGACTCTGTGGTTCAATCCTTTAAAGATATGAATTTTAATACATCATACAGGTGGAATGAAAAAGAGGTACCCTCTATCTCACCCCACCATTTCAGTAACTTTCTCTAACATCTGGAACCACTACAGCTAACAAAGGCTTTACTGTTTTCTTCACTTTGCTGGCTTCCCTTGCTAATTTTTCACTCACTGCAAATGTAGATTTTGTAGTCTTACTGAAAAAAGATTACAATATCCAGAAAAGAACTAATTGCACTGGATATGTGGCTTGGGAAAATCATGAATTTTCGTTGGTGAAACAATGGGGTTCAACTCAGAAAAAAGATACCATGGACTATGAAACTGAAAGTTTCTGCCTCTATATGGTATGGCTGAGCACCATTTCCCCTTTTTGTAAGTAAAAATTAACTGCCTTTTTTCCTTGCAATACTGAGTATTTAGTATCCTGATTGTTGGAAGGACTAATAGCAGCTACATTTCCCAAAGCAAGTGATTTAATTGCCTTCCACAAGTGAGATCATTTTGAATAGTGTTTCAATGCTTGTGTAAGTATATATTGTTTTTATGATATTCAGCTTTGCAAAACTTTTTTAAAAGCGCTATGCGGGGCACCACTGTATATATTGTTTTTATGATACTGTATTCAGTTTTGCAAAACTTTTTTTAAAATTTCACATAGTTATGAAATTTGCAATGTGTAGTGTAGCTCTCCACAGTTCATGGTTGTTAAAACAACTGCCATTGTTTTTTTCTGAATTGTACATTTTGTTTGTTGTCCATTTTTTTCTAGATAATCTCTGAAAACAACAATCATTTTCCTACCTCATCACCCTAACAAAACAAAAAAGGGATTTTGCTCAGATTAAAAGGGGTTTTACTCACTCTTCCTCCTGAGGCTGTGCTACTACACTAGTCGTAGCGTCTGGTAGTTGTTGTTCTTCGTCTACAATATCCTGCTTGATTCTATCATGAAGTGTACCAATCTTCTCAATCTTCTCTGTGGTCTTGCGAACAAAACTAGAAACACTAGAAGTGAAATATAAAAATTGTATGATCATCAATGAGGACAATACATTATGGGAGATTGTAGGTTTTATATGGCACATTTAGAGTTTATTGTGATATGAGCTTCTACAAATCTTTTCAATTATAAAGGCTGAAGCATGCATTCAATTTCTATGCTTTGAATTTCTCTTTAACTCACTGCTAGGTTTAAACTATGTAGAAGAATCCTAGAGATCTGAATTAGAGAATTCAAATGCTAGTCTGGGTATGTAGCCATCCACTACTACACTTGCTGAAACAGAACTCCAGTCTTGAACATATTGCTTAAAAATATATCCCATTAATTCCAGTTTAGCGTCTTTCCCTGTCCAGGACCTCACCTCTTTTCTAAACAAAGGGATATGGAATCAGGAAATTAGCAGTCTTCCAAGATTTTATGCACTGAAAGTTTACACTCTTTACACAATTTTTGTTAATTACCATGATGATGATTCTGTTAGGAGAAAAAAAATGCAATAGCTGGTAGAGAAACACCTTTATTAAGACCAGCTGAAATGTCACAGAATAGTTAGGAATTGCCCAGGTTCCCAGAAATCTTCCTCAGGTTCAGGGTTTAGAAACTAAAAGTGGGGGCGGGGGGGAGGAGAGAATGAGAAGAAAGTCTGGACATAACGGAAATAGTCCCTAACAACCTTTTTATGGTAACATGAACATTCAAAATAAGTTCAAAACATATTGCAGATTGCATCCAGAACAAACCAAAAAAGCAACACAAAGTTATCCCTTTTAAAACAGAGGTTATTCCTTTTAAAATAGATAGAAATTAAAATAGACCCAAGTAACTGCTGACTTTCTGTTTTCAGAGAAACATCAGCCGTTCTTTGTTTAATCCAGTTGCTCTTGTTGCTGCTTTTGAACAGGAACAGAAAAGGAATGAAAACAGTTATAGATATGTTACACTGATATACTTGACCACTACACTCATAAGAACATAAAAAACCAATAATTGCTATAAAGGAAAATACACAAATGCATACAACTGGAATTTATTCTCCAGACTATACAAAAGCCTTTCACAGAGAATTATAAACAACATGCATAAAACACAGTAAAAAAAAAAGTGAATTCCACTGTGATTGTTCCCATTTGTCAAAATTACAAAATGCAGTAAAAGTGTACCTCGGTTTATGAAATTAATGCATCCTCTGGGACGTTATGTAATGCGGAAATTTCGTAAACCGATACACAGATTGAGCTAGGAATGGGGGCAGCACTAGATGCACCAGGCACAATGCATCCTGGGGAAACCCTTTCATATAGCCGGGGGGGGGGAGTAAACCAGGGCATTATTTTCTATGGATTTCAGTTCGTAAATCGAAAATTATGTAAACCAAGGCTTTCATAAAGGAAGGTACCGCTGTATCTCTATTTGTCCCATAAAGCAAATGTTTCCGTACAAAATTTTACATTTTCTTTCTTCGTAAGGCCTATTTTCCCTAAAATTTGTGTTCATATTTTTTCACCTAATGAACTCAAAAGGCTGAAACAAAAGGTGGCCTGCATGACAGAGAAGACACTCCTGCTTACAGCCTTGAATGATTTTCTCATTCTGTTGTTTTCCCCACCCCTTCAGTCCTCCAGGTCTCTAGGACATCTGGACCAGGTTTTGGGGGAGCACAGAGGATGCTGTGAAAGAAGGGGAGAGGAAAGACTCAACTGTACAGGATGAGTTCCATCTGCTCTCGTCTAGCTCTATCCTGAAAGTTATGAAAATGACAGTATTATTTTATTTGGCAGGTCTATGGATAGTTTTCTTACAGATAATTTGGTACAGTCAGATACCACATGAAATTAAGTATTGTCTCTGACCTACATTGTCACACTTTCTCTATTTTGTGGCAAAAACTGTCACCGAAACAAATTTTTGCAGAGGTGACATAACTTGAGAAGGACCTCCAAATTCTCCCTTTTCAGAACTCTCACTGAAGCAACAATAGATACTGGTCACTGTCTGCAGTGGAGTCTTTCATCTTGCTTAGTTTAACATGGGGCAATCCTATTCCAATTATCTGTCCTGATCCTGAATCCATGATCCAGCAATGGCTTTTTTTGGTTAAATTTTATTTCTAAAGAAAAGACAATCCATCATGTTACAAGTAATAAATACAAAGCTTCTCGGCCCTTTGGCTAAGATCATGCCCCAGCAATGGCTTGGTCATGTTTGCTGTTTGGTTTATATCATGAGAGGACATAACTGACTCTTGAACGAAACTTCGCATCCACTGGTTTTGCTTCGACTCACCTTCAGGAAACTTGTGTCAAGAAATTGTATTTATTTTGTACCATTTGTAAGCCACCTTTCTCCCAATGAAGTGGCTCAAGGGGTCTCACAATCTTAAAACAAGTAACAGATAGTTCCTTACACTCTCTTACCTTTGTTTATGCAATCACCCTTTCCAAATTAACAGCGTCTGGGATAATACAGTGTTATGCTGATAACATGTAGAGTTAGATATCTTTAAAAAGATTATACACATAAATTCCTCGCAAAGGTACTATCCACGCTAAAATCAGTAGCAACTAGCTGAAGAGTCAAGACAAAAATTCATTCTGAAGAGGTTCACTTCTTCATCCACCATTGTCCTCTGTCCATCTCAAACTTGAAGGGAGGTTTTCAGCCCATTTCTAGCTAGTTTCAACCAATCAAGAGCTGTCTTGGAAAAACTAGGTATGGATTAACAAACTATGCATAAAGACTGGGGGGGGGAAGGAGGGAGGATGGAATGGGTAATGAATTCACATATGATTTTACCTGTCCTTGACAGCTTGAAGAGAGACGAGAGGAGATGGGGAACGGAATGACAATGGAATACTGAATGGAAGAAAAGTCTCATTCCGATCAGGGTCGACCACCACAGAAGCATGAGATATACTGTCTAACAAACAAAATTAAAATTTTAAAAAGTCATAAAAGTCATGGAGCGATTGGACAACATGTGCTTGAAGGAATTAGATGCCCTGTCTTCTTCAGGCCGGTATCAGTGCCAAGGTCCACTCAGCGTAATTGCCCTCTTTTCCAAACAAGTAGCCATGTCTTTTCCACTGCCGCATATTAGGTGATAGAACCACTATCTGATATACTGTCAGATTATTTATGTTTAGCCTAGTTCCAAAGTCTGAAGCAAAATGTAACTTGCATAAGGATCCTAAAATACATATGCTCACATGCTGAATACCCACATGCTTTTGAGGTATGAATAGTAATTAAAATTTGCACAGCCTGAGAGCTCTTCAAACATTTAAAAAAATCACTAGTTGCTGCAATTCCTAAATTACTGGAAACTCAAAAATGAAATTTTGCCTTTAATTCTCTTGCATACCTATACATATGATGTAGCTTTGGATGAAAACTTCCCCCAAGTAATCACTCAGTATGCAACAAATAACTTATATGGTGACTTATGGCAATGTGCCTCCGAAAGTTACACCATTTGTGTTACACCAGCATAACTAGGCAAGAGGTTTGAGGTCTTTCACTGATGCTCCTAGTATCACTAGTATCATAGAGTGAGCAACATACTTTAATTGCAAATTAAATGAAAGGAAAAGATATAAGTGAAGACTACATAATAAAAACTTCCAAGGATATCAGTAACGTGTTGGCATGGCAACCACGGACAGAAACGTATGTGTACCTTGATACCACCGGTTCGTTGTTGCAAAATTATGACCTAAATCTATTCTTGGTCCTTGTTGTTGTTGTTACATGCTGTCAAGTCACTTCCTACTTATGGTCACACCCGCTTGGAATTTGGCTCCCTCCAAAGAGATTTAAGTCAAACTGCAGACTTCAAGGCCAAAGATTAGATTTTTAAAGAGAATATATTTTGTCATCGTGCAAATGCTAACAATTAAAAAATCTAAGCTATTCTACTATATTCTACTGAAAACAGAGAGGCTAATTCAAAGAAGGAAGTATTCATTACTAACGCTACCAGGAAACAGGAACAAAGTTAAGTCTTTCAAGGAAATATGCAACGCTTATACTTTTTAAAAGTCAGTTAAAAACTTGGCTATTCAAGCAGGCCTTCCCTCCAGTCAATTAAGTGATTTTCATCCTTATCTATTTTTTTCCCTTATGGTATGCCATCTTGGTAATGTCTTGGTTGTAATCAATTGCTATAATTGTAATTTTAATTGTAATTTTTAAGATGTTACATATGTTACATTGCTGTGTTTTATTTGTAAGGCGCCCCGAGTAGACCCTGTCTAGAGGGGCGGGGTAAAAATCAAATAAGTAAGTAAGTAAGTAAGTAAGTAAGTAAGTAAGTAAATAAATAAATAAATAAATAAATAAATAAATAAATAAATAAATAAATAAATAAATAAATAAATAAATAAATAAATAGTTTTAAATACCAGCCAGTTAGTAACTCTGTGGAAAGAACACCAGCTATGTATGTTCTCAATTAAGTACATGCAGATTAAACTGCATGCAATATTTCATTAATAGGCATAATGAAAGTTGATAAATATTGACTTGTATTTTAATATCATCCCTTATTTCTCAATAAACACTCAGGAAAAAAGCCCACTGCTTTTAGAAAAAATTCTTTGTTCTATTACTGTAGATCTGAGTGCTAGGTGCCCACTAATTTACTGAAATTATGCTACTAAAATAAAGAAACAGCATTAACCAGAAAGCTCCAGTCTGCCAAATGTTAATATCACATTGAGATTAAGAAGTCAAATGTTTGCAAATACTAGTAAAGGTTAGACCAAGGCACAGAGGTGGAAGGAGAAGGAGGAAGGAAGCAACTAGTAGCTTTTTGAAGCAATGAATTACCACATCCTGGTGGATAGGTATAAGAACAGCACAGCTGATTGACTACCCAGCCATTTTAATCAATCCCCAGTCACACATATTATAAACCGAACAGCAGCACATCAGCTGGACATACTCGTGTCCTCACTGGGTCCATTTTAAGAAGAAAGGGAAGATAGAAATATTTCAAATACATTAAATAATAAATGTTGCAAAATTCAGATAAAACTAGACTTGTGATATAAGGCATCCTGCAACAGTTATCACCTCAGCAGCTATAATTTACAAACATTTCAGTCATTTGAGATGGAGAGGATGCTGCTTTTCATTTTTTCCCCAACAAATCCATTGTGTTTTGCCACTGGCTTATGTTTTCCATGGAAAATGTAATTTATGTAGCAGGACCACCACCACCACAACAACAACAACAACAACAAACTATCCCACTTTTGATGAGCCATACTGCTGCAAAGCAGAAGCAGCATGTTCTGGTTATCAGGCAGTTGACTTTAGAGGACAGGAAAAGGAACTGGCCAGCCAATACTATAGGCAAAAACGTAATGTAAATAGAACTTGGACTCATATTATAGAATTCGAATACAGCCAAAATGGATTAGTCACATCATGCAAGCAAATTATCAAAAATGTTAGTTATTTACTAGACATATACAGAAGATATTTAAGAAACATTTATTTTACCAAGGTCCAGCTGTTCTTCTTCCTGGTGTGTATGGAATTCTTTCAATCTATCATCTTCTGATAAAGTTTGGCTATGTAATGAACAAGTGTCCTCATCAGACTGACTGCCTCTCCGACTAATAACACGATAAATTCCAGAATCTAATATGTTGAAACTTTCCTATTAAAAAGCCATAGAAACCTTCCTTTATAAAATAGCATTCAGAATATTATGGATGTGCTATGTAGCCAAATGAAAACTGTTTTAAGGTTAAATGATTTCAACAGCTCATTGTTTCAAGGGAATATCAAGGGCATAAATAAATGAAAACTTAGGAAAGGAACATATTCCTTTTAAACTTCTAGAGTCAAACACTATAGTAATACGTGAATATAATATGTGATGTGTGTACAAATAAACATTGCAGTTTCGTAACATTTATGTGTTCAGCAGTATTTTTAAGAATGTAGAATCACTTTAGCAAAAAAAAAAAAACCTTTACCTTCCCCAACTATTTTTAATGTAGACAAAACATTTATTGTTCCATAACTTTCTCTATACCATATTAGGTAAAGGTAAAGGTTCCCCTTGACATTTAGTCCAGTCGTGTCCGACTCTAGGGTGCAGTGCTCATCCCCGTCTCCAAGCCATAGAGCCAGCATTTGTCTGTAGACAGTTTCTGTGGTTACGTGGCCAGAGCGACTAGACACGGAACGCCGTTACTTTCCCACCAAGGTTGTACCTATTTATCTACTTGCATTTGCATGCTTTTGAACTGCTAGCTGGGCAGGAGCTGGGACAAGCGATGGGAGATCACTCGATCACGTGGATTCAATCTTATGACAGCTGGTCTTCTGACCTGCAGCACAGAGGCTTCTGCAGTTTAACCCGCAGCGCCACCACGTCCCTCCTATACCACATTATTCTGCATCAAATCTAGCATCATACCCAAAGCTTCTTCAGACAAGGAGCCAAGTTATAGTTCTCGTTGTTAACAAAAACATTTAGCAGCAGTTTAAAGAAATAATTTAATGATACATAAGTAACAGACTTTTTAAAGGACGCAAGTTTGATGAAAATCTGGCCAATTTACCACCTACTGTGTAAGGGTTTATATTTGAATATGCTTACATGTGAAGAAATGCTGCTCCGCCTGCTACTGCATGCCGAATCTAATGGCTCAAGTTTTGAGATCAGTTCTTCAAGCTGAGTAATGATGTCATTTTGTGTTGAAAGATCCAGCTGTGATTTCAAGTGTTCTAGTTTATCTACAGGAAGAATTTTTCTTGCCTAATAGTGTATAAAATGGAAGTTTGATTAAACAAGTGAAACATCACAAAGTACACTCTGCCATCATGGTAAAAGCAGTAAAAGAAAATCAAGTTGCATGAAAGCAGTTAGTGGGGATAACAGACATCATAATGCTAGGAACACGGACAAATCATGGTTGTTGTAGATTATTCAGGCTGTTTGACCATGCTCTGGAGGTTTTTCTTCCTAACGTTTCACCATTCTCTGTGGCTAAAACACAGAGTTCTAGCTCCTGTCCTCTGAAGACGCCAGCCACAGTGACTGGCAAAATGTTAGGAAGAAAAACCTCCAGAACACAGCCGAACAGCCTGAAAAACCTACAACAACCATTGGATGCTACCCGTGAAAGCCTTCGAGAATACAAGGACAAATCAATTTAAAGGAAGTTTTTAATCCTCTCTTTCCTCCCACAGTTACCTGCAATCTTTAATAATTCTCTACAGAAGGCGAATCCCCACCAGAACAACGTGGAAAAGGAGACCTTCAAGCAAAGGAAGAATTGCACTATTTGGATAATTCTCTGCTCTTTCAATAGCCCCCTCCACCCCATCTTGTATTGCTCAGGGGAGCTCTCTGACCATCCACCCCCTGGGGGAGGAATGTAGTTGCTCACAGGAGGGAAATACTGTAGAAACTTTGTTTCTTTAGGCTTGTGTAAGACAAGTCAGGATCCAAACCAATTCAACTGTAGATGATATTGACACTACATGATTCGTCCTCATGACTATTTAACAGTACACATATACTATATGAAATACCAGTTTTGCTTACCCGACACAAGATAACAGAATTCTGGAAAAGGCAGCAGACTTTGGCAGCAAGATTCCAGTAGTTTCTCCTAAGCAAACGTTCTATGCATCTTTCAACTGGCATAAGGAAAATATGAGAGATTTTTCCACTTGTGTGTAAACAGAAGAGTTCATTTTTATATACCGCAATATCATGGATATCTAAAAAAAGAGAAGATTGGAAATATCAATCTCTATACAGGTTACCAATGTTGCAGGGCATACTTATTATTTAGACAATGTACAAGGTCTTAAGATTTTTTGCTTATGAACACACAGAAGAGTATAAAGCTTTTAACTGATGCTAATTATATATTGAAATGCACAGTGTGGTGTGGTGCAGCGAACAGAGTGACAGACTAGGGTCCCTGCTCAGCCACAGAAACTCACTGGGAATGTGGAACTAGTGAAGCAAATTCTTAAATATTTCACTTATCTTGAAAGTCCTATAAGGGTCACTATAAGTTGGTTCCAGCTAGAGATGTAAAATTTCTGGAAATTTCCATATATTTTTTTGTGGGAAAAATTGGTGGGGGAGAGTTGTGTGTTTTCAGGAGGGGAAATGGACATTTTGGAAATTTTACATCTCTAGTTCTGGCACATAACAACAAATATAAATATGTACTCTCAAAGGCTTTCATGGCTGGGATCCGATGGTTGTTGAAGGTGTTTTGGGCTGTTTGGCCATGTTCTGGAGTTTTTTCTTCATAGTGATTCCCCAGCCTCTTCAGAGGACAGGAGTTAGAACACAGAGTTCTGACTCCTGTCCTCTGAAGATGCCAGCCTCAGAGACTGGCGAAACGTTAGGAAAAACAACCTCCAGAACATGTCCAAACAGCCTGAAAAACCTACAACAACCAAATATAAATATATTTAAACTTTTTCAGAGACAACCGATAGTGCACTGCTATGTGATGGAATATCCCAATCATGCAGCCATAAGTTTGGGTTCATCAAAAATGATATCCTCACCATCCTTCAGTTTTAACAGCATTCCATACTTTAAGCACATAGAAGACTGCTTCACATGGAAGATGGGATACAAAGCACATATTCCATGACAAAAACCTATAGGTGTTGTCTTGCTTGCTTGATGCACATGCATGGAAAGGGCTGCACTTGTACATGTGGCAGAACACACCTAACTCGCTTTCCTTCATGGTATTGCAGTATTCAACAAAGTAATGCCCTCCAGACTACTAGACTTCTATTCCCAAGATCCCTCACCATGTTTGCTCATGCTATCTAAAGCAAATGCAAGCTGTAGTCTAAAACATTTGGAGATGAACGGTTTTGGGAAAGCTGAAACAGAGTAAACGCCAGATACTCATCTAGAGAAAATGTCAATTGTGAAGCAGCTCTGTGTTGCTTAAGTTGAGTATTTATTGTAATACATTTCTGTGCACTGGGAGACAGGTTGAATGTTTTGTGTTTCTGGTAAATGTCAAAAACCTCTCCCATGCAATTACACAAGTCATCAGCCAATCAATTTGGCACTTTGTTTATAATTTTTACAGTGAGGGAAGATGGGAGAATTTGGATAAGAAGTGTTAAAATAAGCCTAATTTTTATATAGCCTATAAATCATCTTCAGAAGAACAAGATCTTCACAAATTTGTCTAAATACACACAGGACACAACCAAACTTGTTTTCATTTAAAATTCATCCTGAAGTTTTATTAACATTAAAAGCTTACAAAGTTGCAAGATTTCTAAAGCATACAGAGGACAACTTTTCAGAAATAAGAGCATTGTACAACATACACTTTACCTTTCAATTCACTCCAGAGCAAAACTTGGACATTTTGAGGGATGAAAATATAAATGCCTTTTTCTGTCCATGTCATTACACAGTGTTCACTGTGAAGAAAAAAATTGGGCCAAACAATGATAAAGGTATCTAGGACAATTCTGCCTTTGCTTTGCTATTGACAAATCTGTCCTGTGGTTCAAAATGCTCAAAACAAAACAGGAACATCTTCCATACAGGAGAAGCAGCTATGGCTTCCCTTCCAAATAATTAAGTGGAGGGGAGGATTCTATACGAGTGAAGATACTTATATCACATATTAAGGTTGGAAAACATGTTGAAATTCCAAATACGTAGATATCCTTTAATGTAATTCAGGGATTATTCCAAGTGCCATTAACCAATGGAATAAAATAAGGATTTTCATGTTATTTTAACTTACTTGTTAACACCTGATGGGCCTCCTTCTATTACCCCAATTACAAACTTGCCAGTTTGAATGCTGGTCTAGAGCACTGGTTCTTAACCTTGGGTTACTCAGGAGTTTTGGACTGCAACTCCCAGAAGCCTTCACCACCAACTGTGCTGGCTGGGGTTTCTGGGAGTTGCAGTTCAAAAACATCCGAGTAACAAAGGTTAAGAATCACTGGTCCAGAGGACAATAAATTGTTCATGTAATACTTAATATGTTGCAATTTATGGTAACGTTCCAGAGATGACTGAGCTGCAAATTGACTCAATAAAATTTTAGCTGTATTTTATGCTGCTTCTAACAAGCATATGCTATAATCTTGCTTTTTATATGTGGTTTGCTTCTGTCCCACTCAACAGCACATGAGGTAGCAGAATGTTAATTATTTGTGTAATAATCCCGAGGTGCAGAAGCCATTTATGCTTTGATTTTGTGATAACTAAGAGGAGAAACACTCAAACATTATGTACCAGAAGACTTAGAGAGATCAGGAAAACAAATGCCACAAACGGATTACTATATCAGTACCCATGGCTTCAGTTATATGCTGCCTGAAAATATTAAATAATAATAAATAGAAAAACCAGAAACACTTTTCCAAGGTGTATTACCAAAATTGGCCACTAGAGGGGACCAGAGACGGTTTGCATATCAATGTTTGCATATCACAGGTTTTCGGCATCTGTGGGTACAGACAGGGCTTGGAACCAATCCCCTGTGAATGCTGCAATCCTACTGTATATGATGTTGGCAGAAATTGGAGTAAAGGGGAAAAGAGATCCAAAAATAATCCAACCTGTACCAATAAAATGTACAGTGTCCTGCTGTGTGGCACAGACAGTACCAGATATCCAGCAAGTCCCAAATCAGACATATAACTTATGATTGCAGATTGGAACAAGGAGTTTAATTTACAAGTGGACATATTCTTATCCAAAATCACATCAAGAATATCATTGAAGAACACACACCACTATTATATACTCAAAGGCAATGGTATAAATCTTACTGAAATGTGTTGGGACAGTACAAGTTTCAGCCATATATTTACCATAGTTAAAATGCTAGATTAACACAGAGCAGGGAGACTTGAGTTTAAATTCCAATACAGCCATGAAAGTTTATTCGTGATTTTGGTACAGACACTAACTCACAGGATAGTTAGGAAGGCAAAACAAAGCAGAAGAGAAACATGTACGTCATATTTGCAGTGTTTATTCAGTGTGATGTAGTGATGGACTAGGACTCGGGAAACAAGGCATGAATCCTCGCCTGGCCACAGAAATTAACTGGGAGAGGTAGACTGATAAAGCCCCTTCTTTAAAAAGACATATTAGGATCAATATCAGCCAGTCCTGAGCTGACAGCTCATAACATGCCATCCTAATAATGAGAGTGATAATGTGACAATTATATTTGGCTGCTGATCCGTAAAGATTGCTGCAACTCTGCAACTAAAACATTCAATAGCTTGTTCCATATTTACCTTAGATACAGCAGTCTAGGAAATGCTAAAGATTGAGGAGAGCAGGCAGAACTGTTATACTCTGGATCCTCCCTTGAAAAGAAATATATATACATCTATGAAGCTGATTCATTCTATTCAATTGATCAACCACCAAGAAATTTACTATTATTGTATTACAGTAGGTATTGTTCTGTTGTGCTATTTTGAATGCATCGATAGAAAATTTAAAAATTAAAAACCACTACTTCAATATATTTTTTACAATAATAACATTGTTGTGAACATTTGTTACTGCTGAAAGTTTTCATGCCTTTTTTTAAAAAAAATTCTATTTTATTAAGCCTTTTATATGGTTCACTCTAGAGCACAGGTAGAGAGGAAGTAACCTACCAGATGTTGATTTTTCATCAACACTTGCCAGCAGAGCAAATAAGAGAGATAACAGGAGTTGCAGACCCACATCTTTAAGGGCACATATTCCCTACTACAACTCTAGAAGGTATAGTATTTTTCCCAAACCAGCAGTAAAAAAATATTTCCCAGTTAAACAGAACAAATGCAGGCTTGTATGCTATTGAGCTTTCACCAAGTGGGAAATCCCATGAGCAGAGTAACGTGGGATCAGGTTGCCATTGCAAATGTTGCCACTGTAAAAGCAGAAGACAAACCTATCCCCTGTTGCGCAACAGCAATGTGTGTGTAAGCAGCACAATTTTATGCTATTACGCTGGTGGGACCTCCCACTCAGTGGAACACAATACTTATTTAAACTGTGTAGAAATGGCAACTTTCCATGAAACCTCATGTAAAAGGATATTATGCATATATTAGAGAGGGTACCTATGAATACAAGTAGTTGTGTTAAGATCTGAAGAACTCAGTCTTAGAAACAGAAAGATGCAACGCCTGCTTGATTGTCATCATTCATGTAATTTATGCCTCTTCAGTCACTTGTGTAAAAGAATGCCTGCTTGATTAGGACTGGCACAAAACATTCATTAAGGGACCAGATGTACATGCTCAGTGAATGACACATTTGCTACTTACAAAATATATGAATTGGGGTAAAATCATATGGAAAGATACAAGCTTCCATGTATATTCAGATTCTAGGATCTCCACAGGGAGAATCTAAACGAATATGAAAATTAACTTCTGGCAACCAAAGCAAATCCATTAACAATGACCACCAAAATGAACATTATCCAAAACCAATACCTTAGAGTAATAATAGGGAGAGGCGGTGATGACAGAAGCTGTTTGAACTGATGTGTACTTAGTACTTCTCCTTCAAAGTTCACTTCCCACATACGTGAACCAGGACGTGCACAGTATATTAGTGATGGCTGGTTTCCACAACTCTTTCCAACTGGGAAAAAACACGCTCCATATTCACCATCTCTTTCCTTATTGCCTATTTTCCAAAATTTTTCCCTATTTTCAGAAACATCCAACATTTAGGGAAAAACTGGTTAAGAGTTGAAGAGGCAATCAAAATCAACATTTTAATAGGCCTTCAAGTCTGTGTCATCAAATATGTAGAGCACTGTGGCATAATTCTTGTTTATAAAATATTAGCAGAAGAGACAGATGAGTAGAATTCTGCTGCTGGACAACAAGACTTACTTATTAAAAATATTTTCACCCTGCCTTTCTCCTTAAAAGGACCCAAGGCAGTTTTCATAACTAAAAATATAATATTTTAAAGATTAAAACAGTAAGTCTACAAATATTTAAAAAGAATTAAACAAGTATTATATTAAAAATGGAAAATAATATCAATACGAAAAAAACACATTAAAAAGCAGCAGAGCACTTTCCTGGTCCCCTCATTCCATACCCACATTAACTTACTGTACCCCTCAAAAGTCACTCATGAAAGTTAAGCAACCCCCAGAACATGCAATGGGGCACAGTGGGTTGCAGCAGAAGACAGAGGTCTGAAGACTCTGTGATGGCCACCCTGTACAAGGAGAAAGTGCCTTTCTGCTCCCATTTGTTATCTATAAATCCAACTCTCAACATTTTCTGCACGACAATGCTTGGGCTTTATTTCATGCATTATAATTGGTCCCGTTTAACTCTCCTCACAATTACCATGAACTTATTTTTATGTTTAAATTAATGTTGGCAAGAAAATAATGCATGGTTGAAGTTGCAATAAATTCAACAACTTAACATCATCCTCTAAAGCAGTTACTCAGATGCTTTCGAACTGCAACTCCCAGAAACCTCAGCCAGCAGAGCTGATGGTGAAGACTTCTGGGAGTTGCAGTCCAAACACATCTGAGTAACAAAGGTTAAGAACCAGTGCTCTAAAGCATGGAGGGTAAAAGAAAAGAAAACTTATTGGGGACACAGAGCTATTTTTGCAACAGCATTTTGGAATGAAGAGGGGAACACCATGGCTTTCCTTTATCTATTAAAAATAGCAAAGAGGGGTGTTTATAAGAAATTAAATCCAGTTTTGTGGAGTTTAATGAATTGGATACCAGTAGGGGAGAAAGCCGCAACACTCTTTATTTTAATATTTGTGTTTTAAAATATTGCTCAAGACTAGTACTGAAGAATATCTACAAGAAATTGAACTTATTATAAACACTGACACATCACATATTAATTACCTCTCGGTATCACATAAGTATGAGCGAGTAAGAGAAGAAATAAGCAACCTTCCATCCAAATAATCAAGCTGAACCACATGAGAGTCAACAGTAGTTATAATCTGAACTGGAAACATCACAAATGCAGTGGAGGCCTATAGGGAAAAAAAACATATTATGCACTGGATAATTTCAGCAGTGGTAGAACTCCACTTAAGAAAGACACTGATTACTTAGAAAAATTGATTACTTAGAAATGAAAAAGAAAGCCCTATCAACTATAGAAAACACATCTTTTCAAAGCCTTAAAAAAGCAACTATGCACTTTCTGTACGTGTACTTGCCATCAGAATACAGTTATTATGATTAGTGAAAACACAAGTGTGTTCAAAGCCTTAAAAAAGCAACTATGCACTCTCTGTACCTGTACTTGCCATCAGAATCTCATGATTAGTGAAAACACAAGTGTAAACAGGATGTGTGCTGAAGAAGCTGGGCAACCTCTATACTACCCTTATGTAAGATTTTCAATTTTTATCAAACTACAAATGGGATTCTCAACACATTCAAGCAAATATATAGAAAGCAAGCAAATCTCAGTACAGTACTTGCATATGACCCTAATGATATTGTTTAAATATTCAAAATGCCTGGTTCTATAACTCTGGGCACAAAAGCCTAACAGGGATTCACAAATGCCCTTACACCAGAGGAAGCATTCTGGCAAATGCATTAAGTCCTACAAATTAAAGCTGGGAACTAGGAAGATGCATCTCATAATTACATTGCACTTGAGATACACTGGCAGTGTTTTAGAAGTGCTACACCTACCAAGCTTTGGAGAAGGGCTAGGGTTTACCTGTTTCATATAGTGCTCTACACTAAATGCCCAAGATAAATATACAGTACTCCAGCACCATCTCTGAAATAAGGTAGTGGGAATAAACCCAGTGACCAAAAAGCCTGCCTATTAAAACTAGCCATTTGTGGGCCTCTGCTCCTACATTGAAAATCTGTCTCAAAACCACAAACCTTTCCTTGTTTGGATGTATTGATCTTGATAGCAGAAACTTTGCCCACATGATCACCAACAAAAATACGGAGTGCACTAGCATCCCAGCAAAGAGCTGTTACTTTTCTGCCTTTGTGCTCAGAAGAAACATAAATTCTTTCTGGCTTCCCACGACGCTCCTGATTCAATTCCCAGACAACAACAAGGCCTTGACTATTTGAAAAAAGTTTATGTAAGTATTTATTTGAAGCTCTGTATACCATACTTGATCCAATAAATATCCCAATGATGAACATTAATTATGTAATAACACCATAGAATATCCAGTAAACCCATAGTGCTTATGATAAAAGAAGCAATTCCCAAGCTTTAAGTTTCAAAGGAGCAATGCATGCAATCCGACACAAATATCAATAAGCCTAGATCTAGATTTGTCATAAGTAGTACTCTGCTTCTGGGATACATCTGCTGATAGAAATTAGAATAAGTCATAATCACAGATTCTTCATTTCCCAGCAAAGATTTTCAGGATTAGTGGAGGACCACCGAGGGAAATGAATCAGTGATTATGACTTATTCTAATTTCTACCAGCAGATATGTCTCAGAAACAGAGTACAGGATTGACAAGGAGATATCCAAAGATCATAAAAGCAGCAAGGGAGGGCCACACTTTGTCCATAATTCCATTACTAGTTTGCTGCAAACCACAGTTGTCATTGTATGGAAATGATGGCTTGTGGAAACCACATCTTGCAAACCAGAAGGGAAAATTTCTATTCTCTATCTCTTACATTAAAAATGGGGGAGAGTGAAGAAGAGAACACATGAATTTTAAAGTATGCCATAAATTGGAATGACCAGCAATTATTTATCTGGGCACATTTAAACAGAAGCCATTCTATTATATGAACTCCTCTGTCTGCACCTCTGACATGTTTGAATTAAAAAAAACAAGTGCTAGAGACCAAAACCAAAATGATTTTTAAAAGTTCTCACCTTGTAGCTACAGCAACATAATCCTCATCATGTAAACAAAATGCAACACGGGAAATGGCACCTTCCTACCATAAAATAAAGAGATTAAATTTGCCCTGTTAGCACTCACTGAGTCTGCAATCACTTTGTGGTTTTTTTGTGGGGTTTTTTGATATTGATTGTCTACTGCTATCCCTCTCCCTCCCACCCCCTTGGATATATATCTTAATGTGGTCTGAGTTTGTCAGGGAAGCCAAGAGCAATGGCATTAGGAGACTAGACTCCATTATGAGTCTGGACACATAGCAGGGTCACCCAAAGCAGGGTGGGCAAAACTGAGATACCAAATTGAGAGGCACCCACCCTCTCCAGGATTAACAGCGACATCAGCAGAAGAGACGTCTAGGTTCAAGTTTTTCACATAAAAACATTTCCTGATCATTACTGGAATTTTTAACAACCCACTTCTGCAAGCCATATTATGTTGATCTCTTGAAGTTTCTCAACATTTCTCTTCTTACTTACCTTATGAGTGAGGAAAAGCCTCTGTTTCCAGCAGTCCTTCTGGATGAGGTTCAGGCCTCCACCTGAACTACCTAGTGCCAACCATCTTCGAGAAACTGCTATACACGTGCACTTAAAAACAGAGGAGATACCATCACAAGCCAGTTTACTGTTGCATGGAAATATTGATACAGTTGCCCATGATGTTATTTTCACTTTCAAGAGTGTGCATTTAAAATGCCTTGGAATGGGCTACTAAGTAGCAATAAAATGTTGTCTCACATAGTCAAAAGGAACGACCCACTTCACATTTAGTGCTAAATCATTATTTAATACTGGGAGAACAAAACTGTAGCCTTGGATTAGCAAGGTCTCTCAGCGCAATCATGCCATCAGAAATGCATGGTTCCATTCTATGATTTACTAGTTTTAACTGGGAATAGTGATATTCAAAAGGATGAAGAAGTAACTTATCAGTCGAACGGCAAGTAAAGACTCCAGAGTTATTTTGAGTTAGGGGGATGATGTTCTGTTTCATGTCCGCCCCAAACTTCCCTGTAGTTTCTAATTTTGTCTTTTCTCTCCTCTTCTCGTCATACTCAAATGTATATTTACAGACAAAAATACAGCAATCTGTAATTATACTAATGGGCAATTGCTGATAGCTGAACACCATGGATATATAAAAGGAGGATCAGATTGCAAACTACTGTATGGGTTATATCATACATTTGAATCAGCTTACTAACATGATCATGCTACTGTGTCTGTCACTTCAAATTTAACCCTGGTATCACTAAAAATTAAGGACTTTATTCCTGTCCTCAGAATAACAGCTGATGACAGACAGTGCTCCCAATAAAATTCTGAAACTACCAGTGCTAACTGCCACTTGGTGAAAGCATTTGTTAACCACAAGACACAGACAGTAGCATTTCTTCAAGAACAAGGAAGTTTGTCATGAAGATTCATCCCCACTTCCTCAATATCGAACTATATTAGTTTTAATATGCCAGTATAGTCTGTTTTTTTAAATACCATGATGATTTTATTGCAGGTTCTTCTTAATGTGGTTTGTTTCAATATTGTAAACTACTCTGGAATCCTCTTGTGAAGATAGGCAAGTACAAGTGATAAAAATGAATGAATGAAATAAATTATTCCTCATTACTGACACTGCTGGATATTGCTGACTGTAGGTGATGCAGTCCACCAGCTGGAGGGGGGGCATCAGTTGCCCATCTCTGCATTATACCGATCAACTTATAACTGCAGAGTATACCCTGGAATATATTCAGTCACCAAACTCTTCTAGCAACATTATCCGTATTAATTGCAATAAAATTACACATAATTAAAATTTTCAAATCCTGCTGGAAAACAGCAACATCATACAGTATTAAAAATAATGAATCAACACACCTTCAAACGACTAGAATCCAGCCTGAGAGCAGAGAGCAGTGGACCGAGGCATTCAAATTCTGCAAGCACATGGCTATAAGATTCAGGTATCATTTGCACAGACGTCATTGGCAAACAAGATCTAATGGTCTTCAAAACTGTGCTATTGTTTCATTTTCCAACTCTACCTATAAGAATGAAACGAGGAAAAAATTAACTGTTTAGCCGAAAGCTCCCTTGCACATTTATATCTCTGGGTATAACATTTCTAAATTATCCATGAAAAAGCAACTATACTCTCACCTATGTTCAGCTAAAGACAAAATATTTTATTTTGTTGTATTAGCTATCTGAGGGAAAAACAAATGAGAACAGGATTTGTCCTGTCCAAAGAACCTGAACGCTGTTATCTGCAATACTCCCGCACCTAATGGCAAGGGGGGGGAACTTTGAGGGAGGAGGCGCTGTTCACAAGGTATCCAAAACCTTCCATTAAGAGAATTCCAATTTCATCACATAAGCCACTGAATTGTGCAAGAGTAAGAGCTGTTCTCTTTTCCCGGGCTGTACGTTCTCTCATCTCCTCCCAAATACAGGGGTATGATTGTTTGTATACCATGGAATTGCTCCTGACCTATGATAACCTTATGAATTAATGACTTCCAGAAGGTCCTATCATTAGTAGCACTGCTGACATCTTGCAAATTAAAATCCATGGAATTCTTCATTGAGTGAACCCTCTCTTTTAGATCTTCCTCTTTTCCTGTTACCTTCTACTTCTCGACATTATTGCCTTTTCAGTGAATTTTATCAATATATATATATAAAAGGTACAACAGTCTTTTTCTAAGTCACTTTAGCTTCTACTATGAAGATCTACGTACTTGATTTGATCTACAATCCACTTGTTTTTGGCAGTTCATGGTACCTGTAGGGCTCTCCTCCAATACTTTTATTTATTTATTTATTTATTTATTTATTTATTTATTGTATTGTATTGTATTGTATTGTATTGTATTGTATTGTATT